GTTGCGAGAAGGCACATCCTTTTCTGAGTTGTTCAAAATGGGGGGATCCCTAATCCTCACCATGAGGGCGCAAAACTACAGAAAGCACAATGCGAGTGCGAAGTTCATGATTCGCTAGTCAATCTGGGTTGTGAGGGACACCGCTGCAACAAGGATTCCACTTCCATCTGGCGTAATGGTTCAGGATTGATATTGAACAACCCAGCTTTTTGGGACAAAGTTGTCCCACGTAGCGTTCGAAAGGAACTTTCTTGCTTGGAACGGTTCGTAGAAGCGGTTGAAGGGCGGAGAGGGGGCAAGGGGCCCTGATGCTCTCCTGATCTGAAAGTTGATCTAAAGGAAACGCTGACAGCTGCCAATTTTGCAGACAGGTGGGGGTTACAAAAAGGGTCTAACGCAAAAACACATTGCCCCTTGGGACATCTGGTGGGTAGGGCTCTAACGACTTGCCCTCAAGTTCGGCACTCAGGGGATCCTACTACATTGCCAAACTTGGCTAACCAATCGACTGTTTGCTCATTGTCCCTTGCAACCCTCGTTTCGGCTCCTCAAACCCGAAGACTACCTATTGGCGGATTGGTGCAATTCATGCATTCCTGACCATTCGGCACATCACTTCCGATCGAGTGGATTGGCCAAAGAGTGCATTTTGTTGTTTGTTACTTAAATATGCAGCTGGGAGATGTTGGCCAATGCCAAACCCTTCTGACTCACCAATAGCTTCACTCCAAAACGCGAGCTGACGGCTCTCATCATACAGGGTGTATAGTCCATACCTCCACACCCATACAGAACGCTCACATGTACCTTGGGCACCTGGCACATTGCGGCGATTCCTAGGCAGCACGAGATCTGCGTTGCAGACTCGTGGTTAGCAAGTAGGCATGTGCCTCCACGGTATGGCTCAAAGGTTTAGTGGATTGACACCAAGTTATGTCTGCGAGAGCAAGAAACCGGCCAAGGCGTGTAGTGTTTCTCCAGTGGCTTTGACCTTTCTTGGCATGACAAACCGGCCATGCAGTGTGACATAGCTGCGAGATCAAATGAATTCAGCTGGGCCAAGAAGGGCACGGGATTCGATGTCGCACAGTCTGCAACTGGAGCATAGAAGTCCGGTGGCATGGGTGGTGTCTAAAAATGAGGCAACCTGATTTTGTTTGGTTCTCTGTAAGTTCCCTGTGAACCAACCCCGGAGAACGGGTAGGGAGCCTTCAAAAAGGACAGATCCATAGTCAATACAATCAATTTGCTTAAGTCCCCTGAAAAACAAATAAACATATTTCTGGTAGTGATCGATTGCATGGAAAACAGCAGGGACAAGAACAAAAAATCAGCATGCTAAAGGAATAGAAGATACTTGGTCATCTAGGAATCGGACCCCCAAATTGTAATGTTTCATTTGGGTCTGGCTCAAAATAAAGAGCTAGGGCTAGACAGGTGTTAGACGTTGGTTCCGTTTGCCACGGTTCCATTTTGGGTACCTACTTTGACCCCACCCATTCTGATTGCCCAAAGGACCTGGACATGTTCACCTTTTGGAACCTGATTAAATATGTATTGCGATGAAGAAAAAAACATAGATTTACTTGTCAATTCGCTTTGGGCCTTTGTGAGTTTATAATTTGCCTTTAGAACCCATGAAAACAGGGGTATTCTCAAAAACGACACACCCAAATACACTCATCTTCAAGTTGTCTGATTGGGAGTACTTCAAGACACACCTCTGATGGGGCACGTCCCCGTGTGACGACCAGGGCACCAATAGTTCCCGACCCGCGAAAGAAGGGAAGGAACGCCCCGGTGCTCTTGCGCTCACTTCCGGCATGGACTGGCCAAAAAGGGTCCAAACGTTTGTTCGCCACTGAACTGAGCTTCCCAAAAAACGATCGCCCGCGAACTGGAGTGACTAGCCCCTGGGGTCCAGCAGATGGGCCCCCTCAAAGAGGCTTTGGTGGCCAAAGCCGCAAAAAACCTCCCTGCAACTCTTTGGCCGCTTCTGTTTGTGATTTTCAGGTTCACCTTTTAGGTTCAATTCCACTTCTACCGCATGGTTTAAACAGGAACAAGCAGCAAATGTTGGTCCGATTTCTAGCCTTTTCATCCTCAACAGGTGCTTTAAAACATCACCCCTTGCCAAATCTTGCCAAATGTGAACTTTGTGTGGGGGGATTTTTCCGGAGAAAGGTAAAGAACCCTCGGATTCGATGTGATTAAATCTGATTGGCTGAACTGGGCACTGATGTTGCATCATCTTCCGGCCGGGACAGCGAGTTTTACGAATCGCGACGGCTTGTTGATGTGCGCAGGAACCACGCTTTTCTTTGATCCCCCAAGGGTCCCCTGAGAAAACGTGGCTCATCCATAAGGCCCTGTCCAATCCCAAACGTCGGACTTTCTCGCGCAAATCGCAAGCAAGTCTCGGACTTGGCCCCAGAAATCCTTCTGAGCAAATGCCTCACAGCACTGAGCTGGATTTGTCCCAAAATAGGAATCCGAAACCCAAAGGTTTCCTGTTCATTCCCCTTCAAAAAAAAAACAAAACGGGTGCCGAGCCTCAAAAAAAAGACACGTTTTATTTGGTTTAGAGAACCTGGGGTTCCCCGTCACTTTGGTTGAAAACAACGACTGGCCGTCAATGTGATGGGTCAAAAATGGTATCTGCGGTCCACTTCCTGCTGGTTGAATTTGGCCGCGTTTGCCCCATACCCATGTCAACATGATTGTACATGCCCCGAAGAAAGTCAGTCTGGTTGAAGCACCTGGTTTCCTCGCCGCCGATTGGACCAATTCACGTCCCGCAGTCATGCGTTCGAAGGAACATGGCGCCCAAAACCATCCAACGCCCACGTGGACCAAGAGGTCCCCAACTTTTGATTCACCCAGTATACTGCCAAAAACAAGGTGTTCAAGGTGTTCTCTTGCAAACGCCCTAATTTGGCTAACTCCCGAAAGATCATGTTATGTGGAATCGTCCCTGCTTTGTTTAGGGCTTTTGATTTTCTATGAGCTATTTTGTCCAAACACTGGAAAAGCCCTCACAGCCGTGGTGGAAGGCCGAATTTCGGGATTTGCAAGAGTCCCGCAAAGCTGCACAAGAGGAGTCCTCAACACCAACCACACTTTTGTGGGGTCAGAATGGGAATCCCCATATTTTGTCACGAATCCCTAGCTGCTTCATGGGTGTCCCATGTTGGAACCTCCACCCTGTTCATACGTGTCCTCTTGGAAAAACTGATGGCCCTGGTAAATGCAATAAAACCAAACTAAACCAGGGCCATCTATGTTTGATGCAATAAATCCAAACTAAACTAAAACTTTTGAGCTCACGAACCAGGGACACCCCGGCACAGCTGTGACTTGAAACCAGCTCAAGGCATTGGCTCAGCTCGATTTCTCCCCCAGCCGGCAAGGCCGGCACGTCACGCCGACTCGGCTTTCCCTGTGCCAGGTGCGGGGATCCCCGTTTGACACATGAGCCGAGCGGTTGGTTATACAAAGTTGGCAAACAAAAGAAATCTTGTCGGTGAAGAGAAACCCCTGGAAGAGGTTTGGTGACATGTGAGTTGCGTTTTAAGCAGCTCCCAACAGGTGAGAAAACTGAAAACTATTTTCTTGCCAAACATGGCCATCTCAGGCCGCTCCGCGGCTTCGTTCATGCTTGGCACTGACGCCGCGGAACTTCCTCCGGCAAGTCGCCTGAGCAGAAAAAGGGGAAACTGAGGCCAGGGCAAGCGGCTATGTGGATGTGTACTTGTTTGAGGCTCGGTACCCTTTCCCTTTTTGCGGTTGGTGTAGAGGGAAACCATCGGAAAACCACCTGTTTGGAGGCTGGCCCTAATTTGAGACAAACCCACAGTCACAGATTCATTGCGCGCTGAAAGCTCACATGGACTCCCAAATCTTCGGAAGAATATCCCCCCCCAAAAAAAAAATCCGTGCAAGTTTGATGAGTCTCCGACTTGAAACAAGGGACTTCCAAGAAAGGAACCTATCGGCAAGGCTCATTTATAAGGTCACCAGAATTTGCCAGACCCAGTTGCAGAAGAGCCCGCGTGCTCAGAGGATCCTTGAGTTTCCGGAAGCCACTACCTAAAAAAAGGTGGCAAAGCCGGGGGGGGGAAGACTTCTACAAAAAACAAAAGAAGCTATGGGTTGCAAGATTTGTCTTTAAACGCAACGCCTTTCTCTAGCGCACGTGTGAAGTCAAGTCTGCTAAGTATTCAGTCAGTTTGCTAGCTAGTAAGCTTAGTCGCCAACTAGTTAGTTTCCTGGCAGCCACCCCGAGTCTAAGTCCTCTAGCAGCTTCTTTGGTCTCCTGATAGGCATAGTTGTGTCCAAAAATCACATGAGCCAATTTTATTCCAAGCATGAATGCAAATGAACAATATGATCGCACCACTGAAAGGGACCACCCCGCTTGGTCCGCGCTAGACGTATTGTTTGGATTAATTGAAACACCGAACACTATTGCGTTCTCGTCCGGGATCCAAAAAAGAATTCACGGGCCTCCAGGACTCCGACAAAAAAGAACGCCCAGGCATGCCACAGCCTCCGGAAAAGCTGCTCCAGGCCACTCCGGAGCCTATTAAGGCGCCTTTGCCAGAACCATTTTCCCGCACGAAACACAAACTGATTTCCGGCCACCTACTACCATCTCCCGCGGACCACCTTATCCCTCTAATCTCAGGTTTGACCTTCTTGGGGGGAGGGCTTATCAATCCGATGTGAACATTACCCCCCTGCAAAAAGTGTTTGTTTCCTGGTTGAAAGGGAAAATGAACAAAAAGTCAAAAAGGTAGCTGCGTTCCTCTGGATTCATCCGAAGCTGACCATTTATAGGGTACTTCCCAAATGGCTGTGGGTCAAAAATAGGTACCCAAAATGGAACCCAAGTAAATGGAAACATGGACTAAAACCTGCGGTGGTTAATTTTGACCCACACCCAAATGAAGGTTCGAAGAGGCCTTCCTGGGTTGCGGGGGGCCGCGACCCACCTTGCCTCAGCTGGCTGCAAACTCCATGGCGTCGTCGCCCTGATGACCTCCGTCGGACCTGGGCAAACGAAGACCTCAACAACAACCGGCGCTAGGAAACCCTCCCACAAGAGTCTGATCCAGGCTGATTGCTGCATGCTTGCCCGTCTGGCACGACAATTGCAAACAAAAACAATGGGTTTAGCTTGGAACAAACAAGCTCTCTCAGGTTGGTTAGGCCTAAATTCATGAATTGAGCCAAGGGCCCATGTCATGTACCCCTGAGAAGCACCCTAGGGTTGCACCATCCACGAAGAAACCCTACCCCCTTGTTGGCTATATAACAGCTACCCAAAACTGATCACGACAGTGACGTATAGAAGCTATCAGCTACATGGCACAAGGCTTTCAGGACGTTGGACAGCCACTTGGACAGGGCGGGAAGTTTAGTGATACTGTGGATGGACGAAATCCTGCACCACCTAAGCAATAAATGATTATGCCCCTGTGTAGATACCAACTAAAAATTGTGTCCCATGGTGTAAAAGTGGTGCAGGTTTTTTTGTCCATCCACAGTATCACCAGAAAGAAACTGTCCAATGACTAAGGCTTCACGTGCAGGGGGGGGATCCCCTGGCATCACAAGTGTGCAGAACTCCCCTCATTCCCACAACCCTGCGCTTGGACATAGAGCACACCTTCCCTGGCTCCAGCCCACGCAAAAAACCAAACCCTTCGGGGACCCCCTTGTCATACCTTGAAGGAAAGACTGAGCTGAGCAACGGGAAATGTGTTTGGGGGGCGGGGCGGTGATGTTCGGGGTCCCAAATGTCTTTGATTGCTGAGGCTTACTCAGAGCAACCAACCATGGTGGGCATGGTGGGGCTGGTCTTGGTATTCCATTGAAGTGGCACCTGTGCTTCACAGTTGTTTAACAAGGGATTCAAGGGGAACCTTGTCAGCATTCGCCCGGTATGCGGGCGGTTCTCAAAACACGTTGGACCAACTCCACGTGGTTTGGTGTCTTGATTTTCCTCGCAACGCCCACGCGCCTTGGGAAACACCTACACCAAAAAAAAAGGACTCCACCAATTGCGACGGATCAGAGTGCCACGGACTCCGCCAATTGGGTCCTTCTCTGTGATCCAAAGTTCCAGTGCTGACCACCGATTTTGGGTAGGTCGATGCAGGAGGGAAACCCCCTTTTCGTATCGCCAGGAAAAGCAAAAGCAAATTTGCAATTCTACAAAAAGCCACAAAGATTGGCATGTCTGTCTGGTGCTTGGACACCTCCCACCGTTTTGCGTGCGCATTGATGTGTGGCTAAACAAAAAGGATGCATGCACATTTGCTGGTGCCTGCAAGCCAGCCAGCTGTTTTGGGCTACTGCAGTCAAGTCCTTTCCCAAAAAAACAAACTACAGGTATAATATGTATACATATATATATAGATGCATGTCATAGTATGTCTGTCTGCATATTTGTATATGTACCATACATACCCATGTATATATACATATATACCCTCCCACCAACTAACATGGAACTGCAAAAATGCCCTTTCCAAGAGGAAAAAGTAGTCTTTCTTGGGAGGGTATGTGTTGGGTTTGGGGAACCCCCTTTTGGTTGGTCTTAAGAGGAAGCCAACGGGAAAACCCATCGTTTTGGGGGGTCCCCGCCGAGGTCGCGGCTTCTTGATGTCAGAGTCCCCCTGGAAGTCAAACTGATCCACGACGCCACCCGCCCAAGTGTCGTCCTCGTCACTGGAAAAGAAGCAGCACCAGGCCATGGGTCAAAAGCCAAAAGGTACCCCCAGTGCACATCCCAATCCCCACCAAAATAGACCAAAATGAGCGTTGCACCTATCCCAAAATGGTACCATTGGTTTTGACCCACAGCCACCAAAGGTCGTCTTTTATTTGCATGCGGCACACCCGGGTACCACAGGAACGACTCACGCCGTGTGGAGACCACAACAAGTCCGGCAACTTGCATGCGGCGGTTAAAACGCGATGCCGATAGAAATGCCACCATTCATCAAAAAAAGAGCAGACATGGGCAATGGACCCAACCTGAAACCGGAATTAGCATAGAGCCTTCAGGCAACCCTGCAACCGGAACCCCAAAGTTGGTTCAAATCCTTGCATCTCTTCAAAACACCCAAAACGGTATCCTCAAAGCGACCTTGCTGTTTCAGGCATGATATTCCACAATGTCGTCAAGGAATGAGGATGGGGTTCAGAATGAGGGAGGCTCTCGCTGCAGACTTTCAGCCACCATCAACCAAAGCCTCTCGCTCGGAAGTTAATATTTAAAAGTTGGGACCCGTGGCCCATGGCTCAGCTTGTTCGGCTTTTGGCCGCCAAAATGTAGAGCTCTGCGGGCACCCGCGTGCTAAGCTCGTGTTCTACATCAGCCTTTCGGCCGTCATGTCGAATCTATGTTGCATTTATCTTTTAGAGTATGTCAAGGGGACATTATTGTGGGTGGACGCAATCCATTTCGCACCACTTGGGACAGATGAAGCGTGAAAGAGAGGGATAAGCCGACCAACTGCAGGATTTCGTTCATCGGGAGCCAAGTTGGATCCCTATAGGACCTCGAGAGTGCAACATTTTTGTTTCAGGACGAGTGGCACCATTTCGACGCGCGCATGCAGGCGGAGGGAGATTTGTTGGGTGCGAAAAGGTCAGGCAGTCTGACAGCGTGACGATTCTCTTTGAATCTGGTGTGAAGCATGATCCAGATCCAACCATTCGGACACTTCTGTTGTGGATTTCTGCTTGGATTTCTGTAGGGCGATGTGGGTATGGATCAAAATTAAGCCACCAGGATACGGACAACAAGTTTTAGTTTCCTTGTTTCAATTTACCATCTGCGAAAACCTGTCAATAATCAAGTATTGAATCTATCCATGTCCGCGCAATTGTTCAATTGAAATCCCTGTGAAACAATCCCATATAGAACCCTCCCATACCTTCCAACAAGCCCGAGTACTCGTGCAAGATCCATTCGCACCTCGAAGGCACACCCCTATGAGTTTGACAGCCATCCCTACCAGGTAGGTTACCAAACCCATGAATAAATAGGTCTTTGACCATGGAACCAGTGATCCTTGATTTTTCTCCTCTCAACTACCTCCCAGACCCAACAGGCCGAGACAAACAAACGCAACCACATTTTGCACTCCTCATCCCCAGTATCCAGAATCACGAAAGACTTGAGCCTGCCCTGGCTTGCCTGCAGAGGCGAGCCCGCCCGGAAATCATATATTCTCCCTTCTATATGCCATCTGCTTCAGAGCCATCGCAGAAAAAAGCCATTGCAGCCGAATTGTGACTGCTAGTTACTAGTGAACATTTATCAAGGGCCATCAGGGACCATGTGCTACAGACTTTTCATGCCCCCCTCTCTATGGCTCTGAATCGTATTGGAATGTGAGCGACGGTCAAGACATACTGTTGCCTTTGGACATGAACTGAGCTCCTTGTTAGCCCCGCATCTCCACACAAAGTCCCCATAGCCCACTGCAAGTTCACCATAGCCCACTGCAAGAGTTGGAGCAACTTCATTCAGCGAGTGGTTGTGTACCCCATTTCAGCTTGGTTGCAAAGATGTCGATGCCTATAAAACGCGGGTGGTTCCAAAGGTCGCTACGGCTGAGACAAGCCAAACGTGTGAAATTGGGCAAACTGTGTGCTTGCTTTTCGGCCTGATATCGCAGCAGTATGGGGTGCACTCTATTTGGGGCAAGCTGAACAAACAATAATCTGCCGCACGTCCGTCACAGAAACCAAGGGCAAGGGACCATTTTGAACACGGTTCTTCGAGGAACCCAACAGGGCCTCTTGCTGTGACACACAGCCATTTGACCCTTCTGGCTATCCTTCTGCCCATGGAGGTTATGAGTCCAACGAATTGGGCAGGGCCATCCCGTACAACCTAAAGGGACAGTTTGTTGGCGAACCTGCAGGAAGCCAAGCATGTCTCGCGACCGAATGTTCTCCTGGAAACGCACAAAGTGAAAAATATGATGCGGTCGTCGATCTTAGACACAGCCAAGGGGGCAAAGGCTCTTTGTGTCTCTCTTGGGCGTATGGGTCAAGGACAAAGGATGTGATCCGTCTCACCCCAACTGAATTGCTAGGTTTCCCTCATCCCCAAAAAATAATTTAAAAAAAAAGCCTCAAGACGTGCACCAGTTGAACAAGCAACTCTTCAGTCCATAAACTCAGGAAGTAAAACTGACGACCTTAACCCAACCTGTTCCCCACATTTACAGTATAAGCACTTCCTTCGCCAACCCAACCGTCCTGGTTGGGGGAAATTAGCCCCATTCCCTTTCAAGGAACGAAGCAGTGTTTGTGCGGAACATCCCTCTCTTAGGATCGACTAAGCCATGTCCAATTGCTGTTCATATGGAACCCTTCTCCACTTCAGCCTTCAAAGTTCTGTGGGCGAACCCAACCCAACTTGTGCCCCACATTTACAGTATAAAAAAAAAAACTTCCTTCGAGCAAAACCCGCAAGGGCGCCGCCTTTCCCAGCCCGGAACCGCCAGACCGGAACCGCCTCCCATGCCATGAAGTTGTCCACCGGCTGATTGATGGGCTGCGCGGCCTCCAGCAGCTTCTCCGCGCCCGCCTGCGTGCGGTGCTTGCCGCGCTTGCGGCGAGCCGGCGGAAGCGGAATCGAGCCGGGACCCGGCTTGGGCTACAGGAAAAAATCTACAGGGAAATGGCCCAAGACACCTTAAATAAGAGGTTTTCCTCCAGATGTTCCTGTAAATTCGCCAATTGCAAAAAATCGGCCACTGCCTTTTTGTGGCCCACTAAGAGACCACTAAAGAGGTATCCTCAAGAGAAGTCTCACCTGCATGAGTCGTCCTGACTTGGTTCGGCGATACTCAGGGACCTTAAACAAACATGTGTTAGGTCCAGTGAAAGCCCAAAGGGTACCTCCGAAAAGACACGCACTCGAGGAAGTGTGCAAGATTTGGAAAACCCGAACGGAACAGATCTCCCGGCCAGCACTCGTGCATCAAAGGGTATACCCAACCCAAAAGACTCTTTCGGGCATCAATATCTAAACACACCGCAAACGACGTCCATCCAACCCGCCGCTTACCCCCAATAAAACCGCAGTTGCTGAAACAAAACCCTTTCGGTTTACCTTTGACAGAATAGGACCAGGGACTAGTTCACGTTGCTGCAGCATATGTTGCCCCACGCCGTTCCCAACATCAAATCGTACACAGCTGCAGCTCGCGCCTGAGATATCACGTAGGCCACAGTGGTCCACACGTACTCAGCCTGCACACCACGCGTTTGCTGTAGCCGCAAGCCTTGAAAGCACTCGTGTTCCACGTGTTTGTCCCTTGGCGCAAGATGGGAAACGTTTGCCAAATCCGTTTAGGGGGTCCATGGGCCCCTGAATTGGAGTTGTTCGGCTACTTGAGGTGAGAGGCAAAGAACATAATTTGGGCCTTCAAGCCGGACATGCAAAGTAAAGGCACAGCTTTGCTGGGCTTTGTGTTGCAAAACTTTGAAGAACTGGGCCCTCTGGTCGCCTCTGGTGTCTCTAACTGGTCTGCTGCGCAAACCTTCCTGGCGCGCTTGTGTTTCCAAAATCAGTGTCCAAAATTGCTAGTCTCTCGATACGTGGTTGCAGGAATACCAGAAGGTGCTAGCCTTTGCCCAAGTGTGCAACCATCAACATATATGATTGTTTGAACAACTGCCAAATACCACCTCGGCATTTTGACCACGGCATATCAGTGGCAGCGCGGGCAAGCCGTCGCCAGCAAGACCAAGACTGATTCAACGGATAGTGTTCACTCTTGCAATGAACCTGGTGGACAATTCCGGGATGGTTACCCAAAGAAAAGGTTCCCTGTGAATGGGGACGTCCCCTGTTCGTGAAACAGGGGTGTAGTAATCTTGGGTGCCAATCTAAGTAATGATTCATTGTTTTGCCCGGAAAAGGCATGTCACGCTGGGCATGCCATGCATCAACCCTTGTAGAAACAAAGAGCCCCCTGTAGTGCCATAGATGTTCTTGATGCATTCCGTCCTCTGTTTTCCTGACAGCGCGAAACAGCAATCTATTTTGTTCGGAAAGAAGCGAGGGCAAACCGTTTTGGGGCAAACGGCAAGCCCGGAGTTCACAACTCGGACAAAACCAATATCGGAGAGACTTGCCCAATGAACATGGGAAAACAGACACCCTTGTGTCAGAGGAAACTAAAATCCTTTGCAATTTGAGGGTAAAGGTAAGAGGGAAACTGGCAAGGGTACCGTTCGCCCCAAGTTGCTACTCGAAGTGGGTCCTCGCAGTACATCCCGAGGCGAGAACACATATTGATATCGTCTAACTCAATTCAAGAAAAACCTGGACTGACTGACAGGGAACTCCCCGTCCTTAAAACAACCATAAGAGAAAAACGGATGTCATTGGGGGTTGAAGGGCGTGAACAAGGAATTCTGGGCGTCTGCACAGATGGAACCCTCATAGACCCGAGGTGGCCCGAGTTAAGGGCAAGAAAAAGTAGTCCTCGTTTATCAGTAAGGTCAAATGACAGGTGGGTCAAATCGCAGTTCACAGTTTGGCAAGGGTGTTGCCCAAGTGTCGGGACACTGTTTTTGGATAGTTACTACACAGAAACATCGGCAAACCCACCAGGCTGGAGTGTTGCTTTTACTAGCTCCGGTTTTGTTTACGGCCCTTCTACCCTAACCACCTGCGTGGTTCCTTCCTTTGGGATCCGTGCGTGGGCTTGAGGAGGAGACCTAGCATTGACAAGCGAACCCCCTTGATCACCTCTCGCGTGGTTCCTGCCTTGCCAGCCACCCGTGGGCTTGTAGCCCGGCCCGCTGAACTACGCACATTTGTAGCTTAGCGGGGTCGTTTACCTTGAAACATTTTTTCCGCCCGGACGTACATTTAAATTTGTAGACTAGCGGCGTTGCTTTCTCTGAAGCTGTTCACGCCGTATCTGCAGCACATTCTCACGACTTGCGAACGCGGGTGACTTCCTAGCAAAGTGGGGCCTGATGTTGGCAGCTGGCTTACGGTTTCGAAGCCTAAGCAATAAGCGTGCAGCAGAAGCACGCTGGCGTACAGGGCCCGTGCCACGCTTGAAGCTTCTCGTTGCCTGCTGCTGTTGTTCGCCCACATGCTTGCGTACCAGCCAACCCAACAACCAACTGGTCAACCGGGGGTAAGCCCTAACCGGGGCCAGGAAAACACACTGGATCCCCGCCCTGCGTGGATATCACAAGGAGTTCTGCTTTCCGCTCTTGCATGCACATTGCATAACTGCACATACAGAGTCTGTCAAACGTATACACAATCTCTGCTTAAATTTGGCGTAGTACATGACTACATGTATACATGCACATTCATACATTCCTTATGTGCTCAAGTCGTGCCTAATCACCTCACGGACGCCTGAACCTCTCAAGCAAGACTACCATTTGCCAAACAGATACAACAATTCCAAAAATCCTGAAATAAGGATTGGTTCCGAGTAAATGGCTTTCACTTGTTGTGCCCCCTCGATAAGCTCGCCAAAACAAATCGGCAGATCAACCCTTGCGACATCGGCTTGCCTTCTGGAGGAATGTTCGGTCCTTGTGGTCAAGTCCGGAGTCATCCTCCTGTCATGCATGTGGTTTTTTATTTGCCTCTCTTTTTGTTGCCGGGGGCGAGGGGGGAGAGGTGGGGCCGGGTGCCTCAAAAAAGGTAAAGCCATATACTCCAAATGCTGTCTGGATCTTACCTCACACATCCGCCACGAGAGCTCTACTGCCACTTCCCAGACCTCCAGTGGAACCCCCTCGCGAAAAGACAAAACAAATCTGAACTTGTGGAAATTGCAATGGTAAAGCTTGGTTGCTCTTGACCCCCCTGCAAAAAGTTTGACTTTTTTGGGGCTTAGTGGAAAACGCCTTTATTTCAACCAAAAAGGTTAAAGTCGAAAGATCCGTTGCCCAAGCGCAGTCAAGAAAGTGGACGGCCCTATGAAACTCTTCACACATCCCCTGAAAACACATGGCCCGACTCGGGTCCCAACCAAAGGCTCAGCATCCCAACCCGTGGCCACCGCCCCTGTGGAGGGCCTGGTGAAATAAACCTCACGGAGACTTGTAACCATGGCCTTGGGTTATGTCACCAGGCGCCCCTCTCATTTTGTCTCTTTTCTTTTGAAAGGGCGGTGTGAGGTCTGGGCTGGCTCTCAAGTGTTGGCGGCTTCACCAACGTGCTGCAACCTCCCTCTCATCACTGGATGGGCGCTTCAGGCAGTCTGAACTGTTTTGCTGCCATGGTCCCAAGTACAAAATGCCTGGTTCCCTTTGAAAGCCTCGAAGAGGGCGGAGGCGACACAAAACGTGTGAAAGACGCATGAACCAAGATGCGCTTCGGCGGGGACCGTAAGTGACTCCTGTGCAAAGTGAGTGTCGAAGTAAGGATCATGAAGCCTGTTCTATCCCAATCTGGGCTGTCAAACTGGAGATTGGACAATCCTTCTAGAGGTGAATTTCCTGTTCTTTCCACCAGCCATTTTGGCTGGGTTTTTGGTGAATTCTGCAAAGAAGGACCCTTGGAAAGAATGGACAAGGGAGGTGCCCGAATCCACGATCCCTGTTGGTAAACCAGTACAAACGTATGCGACGCCTGTCAAAGATAGTGTGTGCAGAGACACACTCACCAAACTGAGATAAGAATTCAAACAAAACAAGTCAGGGAGCACGTTTTATCGCGCAATCTGGGCTGTCAAGCATGCTTCTAGGGGTTAATTCCCCGTTCTTTTCAACCATCGGTCTTTTAAAACACCAGCCATTTTCGCAGGGTTTTTGGTGATCTTCTGCAAAGAAGCACCCCTGAAAAGAAAGGAAAAGGGAGCTACCCGAATCCACGATCCCTGTTGGTACACCACTACAAACGTATGTGTCGCCTGTGCGTTCCATCCGTGCAATTAAGATATCCAAAGATCACAAAAGGAGGGTGGCCTTCGATTCCAGGTCCGTGCCGCTGTTGAGGCTCTCTTTTCACGGGAAATCAAAAGGAACACTGCCTATGGTCTGTGTTTCTTGTTTTTTGGGGTGGGGCGAGGTCCAAATCCCTATGATGACGCATACCCAACCAGCACATAGATAAAATGCATGGTCGCTCGCAACTTTTGGAAGAACCAGCGGCCCCGCATGAACCACACTTTAAACGGAAACCGCAAGGCAACGGTAGGGCTCCCAACTCATTGAAGAAAAACAACAATCTGCAAACGTTACGGAATTGAGTATTTCCAAAACCAAAATAAGGGATCCTCAAGTAAAGGATTTTCATCATTTTCCCTGTTTTACCCCAGATCGGTGAGCTCGATCCCATTTCTCACGCAGACATGCCGATTGGTCCTTCCAGTGCCTGAAGTTGCCACCTCTCCAGCCGCTCCAGCCCAGGTAAATCACATCCTCGCTGATCCCGAAGAAAGGAACATGGGTTTGCTGATTTGGTTGGTTGGTCGAAGCCTAGGGATCTAGCCATGGGGTTTGTTGAACCAAATCCGCAGCGCAGGAATCTCCCTGTATTTAAATTGTGATTAGGGGAGCCGGTGGTTTTGGATTCGTGTTGGATTCGTCTCAAGATAGGGGAACTCACAAACTTGTTAGTTTCCTTTTGGCTTCTCATAAGCCGACCCGAAAAGGGGTACCCTGCAAAGATGACACGCCCCCATGACCGTTTTAGGGGACTGCTGGACTCCTGGAGGCCGGTTCACCTTGGTCGCTTCCCTATAAAACGTGCAACGCAATCACCGAGCTGCTCCACTTGAAAGCAAACAACCCGTTGGTCTGGGGGTTGATCTGGGCATCCCTCCAAGAATGTGTCCCCCATTTCAGGATCCTCTTCCTGTACGGTGGACAAGGAGTCTATGTTTCCTTTGAGGGTGGAATACTATTCATAGCAACCCCACCCCACCCCCGCCCCGGCAATGTTCAATTCAATCCCTCTCGTGCACCAGGGATCCTTGTGAGATCCAGTCGGGTTCTTTTGGCCAGCGGCCTGCGCTTAACAAACAAACGACCAACCTTGTGGGCCCCGTCGATGAAGACTTGATTCGGTTACACCAAACCCCCCAGAAATGAACTCAGCCGAACAACTCTCCCGTCCATGGAACCACCTCGGAATGATCCCGTCGGAAAATGAGCTTGCCAACCCAGTGGATCGGTTCCAACGATTGGGTAACTCAGAACAACCTCCCTTGCTGACAGATGGGTTGGTCTCAAAATAAGAGACCCTCAAAACTGGTAGGTTTTGCTTCGTTCCCCCTTTAAACCACTCCAAAAAGGATGCGTCAAAAGCCACACACCCAAATCACAGAGTGGTGCTCCCCAAACAAGGTGTCTGCAACCTCTCAGGTTACACAAAAGTTGATGTTTCCCGCGCTCCAAAAACAGCGGTCTTGAAGGCCACAAATTTCGTGTCGCCCCCTTGCCCGAAGGCTGGAGACTTGGAGTCTTCTTTGGTCAAGAACAAACTTACCAGGACCGACAATGCTCGCGGGAATTCAGAGCTGGAGGTCTGGATTGGCAGTTTGGAGCTTAGGGGGTATCCAATTCACTCTCTACAAGAACCAGGGGTTCCAATCCAAATCCAAACCACCAACCAACCCAGACCCCTACAAGAATGAGAAGTTCCAATCCCCAAACCACAAATCCACTCCAACCAACGAAGGGCTCCGTGAGGCATCGTCCCCATCGCGCCAAGCTTCGAAGTCGCCGGGCGCCCGCTTCAGCGCTTCCGCGAGCCGCTTTTCGAAGACCTGAGGGAGCTGGGCGATGGGTGGACGGATGGGGAAAGAAGGGAGTGTACGAACGCAGAGCACGGAGTTGGACAAAAAGTCAACCTCTGTTTAAGACCTGGTGCTTCAAAATATGTTGGTTGTCAACCCCCTGTTTGAAGACCTGGCGGTTCAACATATGCTGGGTGTCGCATAGGAATTGGCGGGGGTGTCCTTTTGGAGTTGGACCAATGGACGGATGGTTCAACCAGAAGTGACCAATACGGGGGGCAAGGAAGCGTCCATAAAGTTTGGATGCCTTCAACGAGGTGATAGGCCACCAGGTGGATGACGCTTGGGGAAAGGTTTATGCCTCTGCTGACCTGATTGGACGTTGATCCAAAGAACGACCCACACCTGAAGAACGGTGGCCACAGCTCTTCGAGACAACCCCACCATGACGGGTTGCCATTGCAACGCAAGTTGACCAGCACAACCAGAGACACATGTTGGATCCCAGCGCCCTTGCCCCAACGCTTGAGAATGTAAAACCGCCGCTTAGCGCGGCTCTTTTGAAGCTGCTTCTGCGGCTGGCTCTACAGCGCTATCACCTAAGTTTGGTCAAGGTCCCAACTCTTGGGCTTCTCCACAATGATAACATCAGCCAACACAAAGTCTTAACACTTGGGCAAATCCACGGGATCGACCATGCCCACAAATTCCCAATGAAACAAGAAACATGAAATCCTTCATGGGGCACGTTCAAACCCCATGTGTCGGCGTTCACCCATGGTGAACTCGTTTAAACCCCCTTCCCCGGGACCTGCCCAATCCCAAACTTCCAACAAAAATCAGCGGAGTTGGGGAGTCAGCGCGCCTTGCCGTTCATCTTGCCCTTGTTCCCATTCCGGTCAAAGGTCAGGTGCACATCATCCTGTGGCCAAACGAACCCACATGAGCCCCAGACAGCATTCTTTGTTGCACAACAGGGCAAGAGGAAAAATGGGGCTATAGCGGTATCATGTGGTGCACTCTTCATCGCTCGCCATCAACAATCGGCCAGACCTACCCCCAGCTCGGGCCGACGACGGTCTCTTTGGCATGAAGCAGTAGGGCCCCGGCGGATTCCGCAGCAAAGCCCCAAACGCCCCAAAAGCAAGAAACACATGTTCACCCAATCTGTGTGGGAAAGTGCCCTCCAAAGGCTCAAGTTCTGTGTGGGGAGGGCCGGAGAGGCTAAGAAATCGAGCCGCTGATTTTCTTCATGGGTCCTTCAACTACAGAACGGCACAGCAAAGGCCGCTAAGAAATTGAGGCTAAGGTGCAAAAGGGCCCAGGAGCTCAGCCTGCAAAGCGCGAGAGAACAAGCTATATGGCAGTGGGTCAAAATAGGGTAACCCCAAATTGGAACCCTGGTAAATGAAAACTTGGACTACAACCTGCGGTCCCCTGGTGGCTTAATTTGACCCACACCCATTTGAACACAAGGTTAAGAAATTGGCTAAGAAATCCAGCCCCTCTGGCTCCACAGAATACAAACTAGCCCTTTTAAAGACAACATGGACGCCAAGAAAATCAGCCTCCCGAGGCCTCAACCAGCCAAGTTCTTATACAGCGCTCGGGCTGTACATCTTCATGGGTAAGGTCAGGTCCCAACTCGCCAAACTCTTAGGCCGAGAACAAATCAAGCCCTGGCATGAAGCCCTAGTGCTGATAAGCCGTTCAGTGCGTCTGACTCTTTGTAAGCCGACCCCCCGGATTGTATTTGTTGGGATCGCTCTGGGAACCTGACCAACGGTTGAGGGTGAGTCGAAGGGACCAAACCATACAGTACAATGCAGGTCAATGGCAATGCCTCTGAAATGTCAGTTCCCTCAGATGTTCTGACAAGGGAACCCTTTTCCCTGGCAAATTGCTTCAAAGACTCCGCCCAGGGCAGAACAATGATCCCTTCACCATGCTTGGATGCTCGGCCGAATAAGTGATTCGCGCACTCACGAACAACAGGCTTAATTCCACTGACCGGGGGGGGGAACTTATGCAAAAACTTACTAACTTCGCCGAACACCCGAGTCCCAAAGCAGGAAACCAAACCAACATTCTGGCCTTGTGGTTTGGTCTCGCGAAGCAACCCTGAAAAACGTCAGCAATTCTATATCTTCTCTATATTCCCCGCTGAAAAGAAAAACATCTGCGGAAAGGACATACTCACTTCACATTGTGAATCAAAAGCTGATTGAAACCACCCACAGGGGACAACGCAAAGGACATACCAACATCTGGTTGGCAGCCCTATTGGCCTGAGGCCTTGCTTGGATCCGGTGGGCCTCTGTGGGAGTAATCACATCCGTGGGTTCCCCGAATTTGGCACATGGGAGTTTCTCAAAGTGGGATTCAAAGCTTGTCCTGGTTGGTTAGTTCAAGGGAAACGAAGGACACCTTAGATAGGGACCAACAATTCCTGCTTGAGAGTTTCTCAAAATGCTGGGCTTCTTTTAGCTGGCATTGCAGGGGACCCCAAATTGAAACTTGCCATGATAGGAAATGGGCCCTATTTTGAGACCTAAAGGCAGCGACTGGCAGAAGAAAACCCGCCATTTTAGGGGACCAACTCTTATCTTGAGAAGCATCCATTCGTGTGTGAAAATCGGGGGGACCCCAACATTGTGATGCTCTGCGTGCTGAAACGCCAACTCGACAAACAACGCCACTTCATGCCTATTTGGGGTATGTGGCAAAATCGGGAAACCCCCAACAAAAAGCAACATGTCGGTTTTTGCTTTTGCTACCCTGCAAAGCCCAACATCAAAAAAGGGGTACCGACTTTTGCTTCCCCTGCCAAAACCCAACCCAAGGCTGCCCCAAAATGCCGGTACCGATTGCCCCAAAATGTTTCGGGTAATTTTTCTTGCGATCTTCCACGCCAGGCCCAACAAACAGGGCGCCAGCTCCGAAGGAACAGGGCGCACTCCTCCAACACCAAGGTGGGCTGCTCCCTGGCCGCTGCCAGTTGCCACATGCGCCTTGCGCTCGCCGTTTTGGGGCCCGACTGGCGTGCTGCCAGTTGGAAGGACTGGCAAAGAGGACACTTACACTTTGAGGATAGGCCCAGATGGTGCCCCGTTTCGAGGGGACACCAAAAGGAAAACCCAACATGTTTGGGCCAAAACACAAATTCCAAAACCTTCGAATGGAGGTCCCTTTCCCCTATTATGGAGGGGGGTGGAAGGAAACTGAAGCCACACGCCAGCCCAAACATGATTTTTGCCCCAGTTAAAAGCTGTGGCGTCTTCAGGATGGGTTCTAAGGGGCTGTTGGGGATATCACCTTCATTTCTTGCTAGTTTCCTGGTTCATATGACTTCCCGCCAGCACGTGGTATTTCTCATCTCACAACTCACCTGAAATCTATGAGGCCGGCTGGACATCCTACAGGAACTTTGCCAACCACACCCAGACACCGCACACCCGGGTTTGGGCGAACTTCCTGTAGAATCCTCGGGTTTCTTACAGAAGAGGGAGGTGGAGGGCTTTTCTCACGAGGTTTTCTCGCCTCCACACCTCCAAAGGTTTTCAAGTCATAGATTACGCTCACCTCCAAGACATCAACTGAAATTCCCTGTTTCAGGGGTCTTCTCTGAGTGTTTCTCAACATAGGAGTTGCACAGGCTGAAGGATTGGATCTTTGGTCATCTCCCGTGACGCTAGCATGCGGAAATCGGACTTCAACCCAGAAAGAACACCAAAAGGGGGTCCTTTCCCCGAAAGGAGATGCCGAAATCGGAAGCCCAATCTGTTGGTTTCCCATCGAGCTCCGTCCCAAACAAGCGTCCCAAATGTGCTGAAACACAGCCAAACGAGCCTGGGAATGTCAAAGAACGGCAGGACAGCTCAAGGGTAACCAAAGTGCCCCGCGTTCATAGCCAATTTGTAAACACAACAGGCAAGTCGGCCATAGCCGTAGCACGTAAAAGAACCTGGCTCGTCTCATTGTGCCACCATGTCATACGAGCGCATTTCTTGGGTAAGCCCTATGTGCCAATAGTAGTGTGAGAGTATTGAATGTCGTTCCCTATGCTACAATACATGCACCTCAGCCAACTACAAAAGGCATGTTTAGGCTTGGCCCATTTTTTAGGACATGGTTTCAGTGCCCGGCTTGCTGATGGGCGGTGAACCTTGTGGTGCAAGGCGATGTCAAAAACAGATCCTCTTGTTCTCAAAATAGGGTCCATTTCCTAAAATGGCAAGGGTGTTAGTTTGGTTTCCCTTGCACTGCCAGCTAAAACAGGGAGTCCACCGTTTTGAGACACTCTCATAGGAATTGTTGGTCCCCTATCTATGGCAACGGCTTCATGTTGGTTTCCCTTGAAATCAGCAAGGGCTCCGAATCCTATTTGGAGAAACGCCCACACCGGTGAAACCTCCCGTGGCTCGCAGCACTTCAGCCCTGGTGCCTGTGTGAGTGTGCACAGCCGCGCTCGCCGCCGGACATCAGCTGAGTCTGGCGAATGACCAGGCTTTCATGGATGTGAGATGTGCGTGTGTGCATGCGTCAAAAAAGGCGAACCAAAACAAATGTTGGCTTCCTTTAGGCTTCCCTTTGCACTTACCTTCAACAGGGTACCGAGTACCAAGCTTCAAAAAAAGAGCCAAACCCGGATGGGTTTGTTTCATGGCTTGCAACTCGCAGGTTTGCTCCAAACCCGACGGGTGGTTTGCTGATTTAAGGTTTGCAGCACTCCACAGTGGGCGTCGCTCCTTTGATTCCAACGGAGGCCAACTGAACAAGCGTACCAAGGGAAAAGTCTTGGAGCTTGTTTAGCTTCACAAGGTCTGGTCCGCTAAAAATAGATTCCCAAAGCCATATGGAAGACGGTAAACCCGAGGGGTTGACGGGGGGGGTCCTTAGGCGTCCTTGTTCATGTCCTGCAAGATTTCGGGCAACCGTACCTGCAAGAATGTGCGACCCCCGACTTCAGGAGTCTCATACGTGGATCGGTGCAGACACGTTCGTGAAGACACTAGGAATCGGTACACTAAAATACTTGAATTCCTTTTGGTTCCCTTTAAATATGGACCAAAAGAGAGTTTGCATCCCATTTTGAGAAACTCAGAAATAATCTTGACTAAAATCCAAGTGGGGAAGCCAGCCAAAGACCCTGAGGTACGCTTCTTAAAGCGCTCCCGGCGCCAGTCCAGTAACTTAAAGCGAGACTCCTAAATGGCCCTTGGTTTTGAGAACTCAACACGGGCGCGCAAAACCCATTCACTTTCATTCACAAAATGGCTAGCAAGGTAGGGATTACTAAAACCTTTATGAAGGTAGGTTGATTACTATAACCTTTGTGAAGGTAGGTTGATTACTAGAACCTTTATGAAGGTAGGTTGATTACTATAACCTTCATGAAGCCAGCAACTAGAACCCACTCCTGGCGAAGGCGCTGGGCTCTGCGCTCACGTGTGACTTGTGTACCGCTTCGCCTCCCCGGGGTCCAGGAACCTCTGGGCGAAGCTCAGCGTGACCTCCCGGATGGGCGTGGCTAATGTCTCCAAAATAGGAGACTAGGTGGGGGGAATGAGCGGCGTAGCTGGTGTCTCAAAAAGGGTGACCCCTATAGGTGACCTGGCCGGGTTCCTCAAAAAGATCCCTCTACCCAGACCCCTCAACATTCTATGAATTCAAGTAGGGACCCTTTGGTGGACATTTAGGTGGGGATTTATGTCCACCAACCACTTTTCAGGGGGTCCCCCATTAAATTCATAGCCAAATAGGTGACCCCTCAAAACTTTGGTGACCCGGCCGGTTTCCCCGAATTTCCCCCCTACCCACCCAAAAGAGGGGTCCCCGATTTTGAGACACACCCATCTTCACACCCCAACCTTGGCCCACATCTAGGCTACTTTGAAAACATGTTCTGATATTACCTTTCAATTTTAGTGTACCCCAAAAAAATGATCGGTTTTGGAGCAGACACCAGAAACGTGGTCTGTTCAATTTTCCTAAAAAAACAACAACAAACAAACACAACAAACACCGAAAGACACCCAAAACGCAAAAGGGTGGTAAAGGCTGCTCAGCACAAGGGTTACGCCCTTCCAGCCAGGGTGGCGCCTTGACAAAAGGGAGGTCTAGACTGAAGTCAACCTCGAGACTGCGAGCGGCAACTTTCAGGCAAGCCTTGCCCGAGTGGTGTTTGTAAGCGCTTAGTACGATCGCACTCCCGCGAGCCCACAACGCAAAAACTGCAACTTCAAGGCTCTCGCGACAGACGTCACTTTGCGGCTCCGGAACCTGTGCACTGCCGGGCTGGCAGCGTCAACAAATCTGCTGGGTTGACTATCAAAAGCGAAGGCAAACGAGACAAGCGCAGCGTGACTAGCCACGGCACGCCTACCTTCCCACAAACACGGAACCTGACTGGAGGTTCCTCTGGAGTGCAGGCTCCATCTCGTTTCCCGTTAAACCAACCTGGCAAGGGTAGTGGGGGTGGAAGAGAAGCTGTTTTCCTCAAGACTATTGATCAACCGAAAGGTCGGATGGTCAGACTATCGTTTCGCTTCTCAGTTGGACCCCAACCATTGAGGTCCACTCCAGGAAGCCATTTGGAACCTCTCAGGAGAATTTCTACAACTTTAGAGGGCAACCTTTGTTTGGCTATGCGTCACAATATGGGTGTGTCCTTTTTTGGGGAACCCCTAAGAGAAACCAAAAGGAAAACCCACCATTTCTTGTTTCTTGGGGGCTGGTCCTCTAAACGCACACACACACACACCTATATACCCCCAAAACGGATTTCGGCTTCCTGTAGGTTTTCCTTTAAACGAAGCGTATCAGCAGCTTCCCTCGAAAAGCGTGGTTTGAAGCCGAATCGGTGGTTTGGAGGGTTCCCACCAGTGGTTTCCCTTTTGCCCTCTACTTCCAGGGGTTCAAATCCAAATTCAATCCACTTATCCAAACCACTAACTAGAACTTACCTGAATTGGGGCCCTTGGTGTCTTCAAGAAGCGGACAAATGCGGCACACGCGGTTCAAAGGAACCCAAAATCCTGAACCACCGGAAACAAGCTAAGAAAACTGGCAACTCAAGAAACCACACTTCCCCTGTACAAGAGCCAGGGCTTCAATGCCAACTAAGGGTTCCCTGAATACCCCAAATTTAGTCTGAACAATAGGCCCAGGTACCCCCAGCAACCGGGACCCGCAACTCCCCCGAAACCCAAGGGAGAGCTGCTCCAAACCACTCCGAAGCCTAAGGCAGCAACTCCATAGCTTCCAGTTGAGTGAAAAGCAGAAGCCCTTTACACATTTGTAGTTTTCATTTGCTGTCCCCTGGCAAAACTGAACATACTTCCAGTTGTGATAGATTCCCTTCAGCTTCAAAACCAACAAGGGAAACACACAAAGTATTTAAGCAAATCGAGAGGCATAAGCTAGCTGGTACATTGCAAACAGCCCAAAGGGGGGGAGGGTTCCCAGGAATGACTCGCCAGCCGCGGGAACAAGGGTCACCTTTTGTTGGGCAAATTATTTAGACTGTAATGGAAGCCCCTCCATTTCAAAGGGGAAGTGGTATGTGTCAAAAATAGGCAGACCTCCCCCCCCCCCCGCACAAAAAACAAAAACAAAATTAAAACATAGCACGTATTGTCTTGTTGGTTTCCCTTCAAACCCACCCACCCAAAAAGGGTACCAACTCAGAAACACACAAAGCCATTCAATTCGTATTTCGGGCTGTGTGAAAGAGGAACCCCTGGAAATGTCGGTGTTCCTGTAAAACCCAACCTAATAACGGGATACTGACAAAATATACTGGCACAAACCAAGCCGAACCCGCCGCCCCCAAACCGCGCCTTGAACTTCTCACCAGTCGCCTTTTTCTCGAGAGTACCAGTGGGCGGCGGCTTCTGGTCGAAGAGAGGGGCGTCCCGGATGTAACCTCGAAACATGTTCGCTTTCACTTACTTCCTGAGTGGATTGGTCCGCAAAAATCCAGACTGCCTGATTACCACAACATGAGCTTTGGAAGTCCTAACATTGGGGAAATGAATTTAACGACCCCAAGAACGGCATCCTGGCTGCCAAAAAAGGGGGACCGGGATGGTGACTGACACGCGGGTGACTGACAAGGGGTTGACCTTGGCATGTGGAATCCCTTTACCCATGATCTCAAGCCCTGTTGAAACTCCCTCAGAGGATGAGATTTATTGACAGACTAAAAGGAAAATGGATGGTTACCATGTGGTAAATGGTGTAATATCAAAGCACGAGCCTTCCAGACAAGTTGTTCTGAATGACCACCTCTCTTAGTTGACCAGTAGTTCCAGAAGCGAACAGACACCCTTGATGGTTGACTAATTGGAAAGGACATTGCAACCCAAAGAAGAAAACGCGATGCAACCAACTGGGAAACCGGAAGCCAATATACATAACACCAAGTAAAACCTGTGGATGTTCTACTCACCATGACCCAACATGTGAGAAAGTCTGCCCATGGCCCGATCACGTCAATCAAGGAGCGCTAAGAGGACCATCCGGTGTCTCCATATACTTTGAAAATGCCAGCACCCCTCAACTGCCTTTTCCCGTGTCCGAAAACCGTGCTGCCCAAAAAGCTGTCATGGGTGCTGGCAATTAGCTGCTTGAAATGTTTAAAGCATGGGCTGATCATGTTTCTCACCCAGAGGTTTTCTGGTGGAGGATGGATTTTGAACAATCCACTTATTCTGCCGTTGGTGTCACTCAAAACCCGTCCAATCCTCCTTAACTTGGCATATGTGTGTAGGAATGTTATTTGCACCCCCCAACCCAAAGAGGATGACAACTGCACAAGAGCTACTCACTTCCCGAGATGGTCCACGTAAAGTTTAACCATTCGGTTTGCCACTGGTCCAAGCCGAAAAGTGACAAGAGTCCAGTTGAACCCAGGGGTGGGAATAAGAGCCTGAGAACCCCTAAGAGTCCGCTCAGGGAACTTACTTGGGTGTTCGGCCGGGTATGTTGTTGGCAACCTAGACTCTAATCCACACATAAGTCCCCCTATATCAGTGGAGGTAGCACCTTGCTACTAGCAGGTTGGCTAATTTAGCAAACAACTTACTAACTTGGCCAAACATCCAAGGTCACAGGCCCCAGACTCTCGAGCCGAGTGGCTAAAGCTCTCGCCATCCTCCGTGAACTTCCAGGTGTCGTCCTCGTCCGGAGCGTCCGCCGCCCACATCCAGGGCTTACCGTCCTAACGCGTCATGTCGGCCCATTTGTGTCTGTGTGTGCCTGTGATGTTTTTTCGAAAGCATCAAAAAGGGCTCTTCAGCAAAATTGGATCCCGATTGCCCAAGCTAAGTTGCACTAGCGAGTTACACGAGAGATTGCTTTGAGCAAGTGACACACGCAAGAGTTGCACGAGCAAGCTACATAAGAGTTCGCGAACGCAAGTTGCACGAGACGCGAGGAACATACACGAGAGGTTTGCAAAGCAAGTTGCACGAGCACGTTCTATAAGAGATTGCTAAAGCAAGTTACACGAGAGGATTTTGCTGTGGTTGGCTGGACAAGTAGTCTAGTGAATTGACATGTGAAAGAAAGAAAGCAAACCTCGACAAGTAAACATCCCCGCGCGCAACCCTCTCTAGGGATTGGCGTGGTCGACGCGCAAAAGCTGAGACTCTTGCTACTTTTCAACATCCCCACGCAACTCTCTGAGGGGATTTGCGTGGTCGACCCACAAAAACTAGAGACTGCACCTCCTTGCCTTCCTCGCGTGATTCTCTGTGTGGATCGGCGTCCGAGGTTCAATAACCCAAGATGCGTTTGACTTTTTGCAGTGCGCCGCGTGATCCCAATCTGTGGTATATAACAGTTACGCGAGAAGCTCCTAGCAAATCGCAGATTTTAAGTGCGAAAGTGTACTCCTGGTCCGAAAGTAAAACCGGACTCACGGCGGCATGCATCAGAGAACTTGAGAGAAACTTGCTAAGAGAAGTTGCTCACACTTGCTCAGACTCTCAGACGCACTGGCTCAGATAAATTTTGCTGAGGAAACTTGCGCAGAGAAACTTGCACGGGAGAGGCTTGAGCAGAGCCACTTGCGTACGAGAATTTCGCAGAGGACTTGTTCGGAAAACTTGCTCAGAGAACTTTGCGCAAAGCCACTTGCGTAGAGAACTTGCTCAGACAAACTGTTTACATAACTTGCTCAGAGAACAGAATCAAGTCATACTCTTGTGTTGCGCTGTGAGGACATGCTCTTACACATTACTCGGTCAACGATGCTTTCGGGCCACCTGTCTTCTAGCTTTTTGAGAATACCTTTTTGGGTTTAGTGTTAAAGGTATAGCCCCCCCCCCCCCGCCGGAACAGAACACACTGGTTTGTGCTTTCTTCGTGCGTGTTTTGCACTTGGCAACCTTTTTTGTTTTGTTGGTGGCTTATTGCGTTGGTGTCCTTTGTTGACCACGGATTTTGGAACCCCTGGTCAATTTTGATCGGGGATTCACCTTTTTGTGGGGATTCAGACCACTTTGAAGGGAACAATCTCCTAACGATAGGACGAGTTGATTAATCCAGGGTCAGCATTATTCCCCACCCTGAGAAAGATCAAGGAGAGGAAATCCTGGAAAGCTTGGTTCGACGCCCCAAAAAAACCGCAAAGCACTACACCATCAACTCCAAGCCTGTACTCAAGGCCTAACTCTGACCCCCAATGTGTTCGATGGTGGGGGCGGGGCATTTACCACTCACTTTCCGACATTCACCGTTTTAGCGGGGCCCACGGATTGAGAAGTGAGAAAGGGTGTCACTGAGCAGCTGGGACCGTGTCACACCCTCAACCTCCAAACTGTGCTGCCCCGAAATCCCACGAGGGTAGACCAATGATTCCTCCAAAAGGGACGCCAAAGGAATCCATGACATGCTGCACTTCTAGCATTGACGTTTCAGAGCAACCCCGCAAAGGGGGTTCAAATGACATGCCTCGCGTATCAAGGCCTCAACCCCTAAGGCCTCAAGGGGATCGCTGGGGGTCTCTGGTTGCGCTTGGGGCCATGGAGACATGGATCATCAGCGAGCTCACCCGCCCAGCGGTTAATCATGTGTCTGTCTTTTGAAACAGGAACCTCTAAAACATGGCGCCCGGCTCGGTCTGAACAACCAAGCCAAAAAGAGGCCCCTCATTTTTAACTCTATCAGCAAAGATGCGCAGCTCTAGCGAAGCCACTGCAGTCCCCCCAAATTAGGTGGCTTACCTTTGGATGCCATCCCAAAGCGGGTCCTACTTTTTGGACAGCTCTCGAATGGATCCCTAAGTTCAGTCATGTGTCACTTGAAGTAGTTTCGCACACCCGCAGGTCCGGGCATGTTCCCGAAAGGCGTTATCAACACCTTAGGTGGCCGCTTGCAAAAATAGATGGCCCTGGTAAATGGAATCAAAGCCACCTAAACCAGTGCCATCTATATGTTTAACCAAACTAACCTAAAAAGGACACCTATGATCAACGCAAAAGGTGTTTCATCCAATCTCATGGCCTGGCTGTTGCCCGTTTTTTTTTGGTTTTTGCTTCTCTTTTTTTTGCGTGCGTCAACTTGAAGACCTCACTTCCGATCGAGTGGATTGGCCAAACAACTCCCAAGCTTTTTGGTTGCCACTATGGTCCCAAAAGGTTTGAAGTCCACAGGAATTGAGAGACAGAGATCAAAGGCCTTTGATTCACAAGCCAGCAAGCCAAGCAAGGCGTCCCCAGTTTGAGGACACATCTCAATGTTTCAAAACAAATGGTTGGTGAAAGACAATTTGATAGCTGTCCAAACCAATAAACCAACAAACCGACAAAAATGCTAACAGGTTGTCGAAACCAACAAACAAAAACAATGCTGTTCATAGAAACTACAACGCGCCAAGCAAATGTAAGTACTTAATTTCCTGATGGTCCCTCTCAGCATGAAAAAGGGGGTTCAGGCAATCTCATTTTCTGAGTACAACGGCTCAAAGCTGTCCCAATCCGCAACGCCCAACTGCTTGAAACATGGAGGGCTCAGAATAAAAAAGATACTCCCCGAACGGGTTTGTGTCCTTCTGGCTTCCCTTTGCTTGCATTTGCTTAAGCCCCCTGGAAAACACAATATGTCCAGTAGTGACAAACTCCCTATATAACCAACAGGCGAAAACATATTCTGAATCAATGGAAGCTTGAACATCCATCTGAAACGTATCCCCTCGGGGGGCGAGGCCGGGCTCGAGGGGTTGGATTTGGGACGGTTTCGATTTCCCGCCTCGAAGACCCACTCGTAGAAATCCGCGAAGCGAGCCTCGGGGGTTTGCTGGGCCCCGCCATTTGTTTTCCCCGCCGGGCGAAACTTTGGACGTGGTTGAATCGCTTAATGTGCAATTGGGAGCCCTTTGGTTCATGCTGGGGGGCCCTTTGGTTCATGTTCGTTTGGACTTACGTCCAACCATTTGTTTCAAAAGGAACCATGAAGTGCCCTGCCTGAAAAAACAAAAGTTACTTTGCAAGAAAGGACCCGTTTGCGCCTTGCTCCGGTCATCTCGAGAAGTCGCGTTCCACGTCCCATGATTCCAGCTCTCGAGTTGCTATGCGAAGAATGTGCAACTCTTTCTTGGCTGTTGACCTGAAAGGGAGGCCCCCTCTAAGGATACAAAGGCTTCACTGATTCAGAGCCGGTTTAGCCATGAGCAGGTCAATTCGAGTGTGGCTCGCCGTCTGAGTCAGCAAAAAAAGAAAACGCAGTGCCACTTGATAAGGCACCTGGGCAGTTCCTCAATACTCAGGTGTTTCCAAACGTTTGGGACCCTAAAGCTTGTGGGCTCTTCTGTTGGAATCCAGTTTGAATTGCGACTGCTTCGAACCTGGAACTGACGGTGGGCTTTCATGCGTGGGTCTGTTCGACCTAAAAGGGCCTTGTCATTTTGCCATGCTCACTGGATATTTCTGTGACAGGGCTGTGGGACATGGAATCCAATTCTGTGATACAACAGAAAGGGCTCCCCAAAGATTACCCCCCCCAAAAAAAAAAACACATGAAGCCCATAAGCAAAAGATTCCCAAAGTATCAGAACTGGTTGCATAAACCCTTGATCCCACAACCCTGCTATCCTTTCTGCATTTCGTTTTCCCCGGCGACGGCTATAGGCTTTGGTTCCGAAACGTTTCCGGGGCTGTTGGGGATACTGTTCTTGGGCGTTCTGTGTTTGTTGGCTTTGGTATTTAACACCCAGTAGCTATAAGTTTTGACGGTTGTGTTCAGGGTTATTCAGATTTCCCTCAAGGAAAAGGTGCAGTTGTGGCGTATCGATTTGCCCGAAGGTGAACCTGTGTCTTGCTCTGTTTTCTTGGCAGAAAACCTAAACTGATGATCCAAACAGTGAATACCGTTGAACCCTTTCTGCTAACATGTCCCTTCTAAGACACCACCAGAACATATACCCGATTTGATCCCTGAAGCAGCCAGAAGGCCTGTGTGCTTGGTGTGCTGAAAAGTAACAAATCGAAACGACAAACACCTCTGTGAAGACAAACACTGTGAAGGATTTAGCACCTCCCAACTTTCCATATCCAAAGTCCCACGTACTGTCCAAAAAACAGTGGTTTGAGGGGATCTTTCCGTGTGCGTAATTTCATAGCGCAAAACGTGCCAAATGCAAGGGTCATGGGCCAAACCAAACTCAGCTCACTTCTAGGTCTAAAGCCTTGCAATGGAGGTCCTTCAATGGAGGGTCCAGTGATGGTGAGGGCACAAACATTCTTAAGTGATGGCGAAGCACCTAACACGAAGAAGGCTTCTCGTGTAGAGCTGCAGCATGGAACCGCTATGACTAGGAGCGAACATGTGCAGAGCAGCAAGTTCCTCAAGGTGTGGTCGTGTGAGGACTATAAGCATATACATTGTTTGGTGCCCAGTTGCATTGCACGGAAACCAACGATGAATCATGGCACACAACAAAGCAAGAGACCTGCAAGCAACATGTTACCGGAGACGAAAACGCGACGTAGCTTCGCCGGCTTCGGCCGCGGCATTTCGAGAGGTGTTCCACTTGGTGGCCACCTCCTGGCAGGCGAAGCGCCGGTTTCGGGTGAAGATGCCCTGCAGAAACATTTGCGTATGTGTCGAAGTAGGGAGACCCGCCCCCCCCAGAATCCAAAACAGCTTCCGTTGTGGAAACCTGGAAAGCAGCCTGAAAGGGTGCCCCCCCCCCCCGCACAAAAAAAGAAGAAGAAGAAAACAAACTAAGGAGAAAAGAAACAACCCCGTTTTGTGGATGACAAGCCACTGGTCCGAACATCGAGCAATCGAGCGATCGACCGCTCGCCTCCTCCGGGATGGTCATCTTGGAACCATCCGAGGCCAAGAAGCGCTCGAAGCGCAGCCAGGGGCACTGCTGGCAAGCGGCAAGCCATGTAGCCGCGGGGGTGGAGAGAGGGGGGCTGAGCGCGGTTGGTATAGGTGAATTGTTGGCAACTCGGAACTCCATACAGCGAAGGCAAAGGTCTGTCCCGTCGATGCCTATCGATCCCTATTCGCAACCATGTCTAAAAGCTCAGGTCAACATGACGGTTGTTCATTGCGCGCTCTAGGGAGCGTGGAAAACAAGTATCCATGTTGGTGTCCTTGAGGAAAACCTAACCTATATGCTGTCACGCAATTCCTTGGTGATTGTCTGTTCCTGCCAGATGTTGATTCAAAACCCCGTGAACAGAAAACTGGGCAACTCAGACTTGATCTCCAATTTGGGTGCCCAAGGCGCTACTTGACTGTTCCCCACACAAACACAAATCCTCAATCGCATAGGTCGCAACCAGCAAGACATGGGTGGTCTGGTTCCTTGGTCAACCTGGGCCAAAGGTCTGCTTTCTGTGCCCTAAGCAATCGGCCCCTAACGTCTTGGAGGGGCCGCATCAATGTCCAATCAACAGTTTGACAAAGGCAGACTCCGGTGGTGGTCCGCCCCTGGAAAGTTGCCGCAGACCCAGAGCAGGAGCTTCGTCGAATGTCTTGCAGTTCACATCCAGTATACTGAAAATGGCCCAAGCAGAAAGCAACAACAAGGCTTCTTGGAGCCAAGAAATTCAACCCTGGGTCTGGTCACCCAACATCCGCCGAGGCCTTCTTGAGCATGGCAGCCACACGCTTCCACCTCAGTGTTCCCCCGGTCAGTGTTTGGAGCACAAGGGGCCACACAAAGCCCAAGGCAGTGGCATTTTGCTGCGAGGTATGTTTTCCCAGCTTGCTGTGGGGGAAATACAATAGGGGTACAGTACAGTAGCACACGGAAGGAGCTGGCTTTGGCCTCCCAGCTGCCTGAACCAACCTGCTGTTTACCTGCCGCCTATGCTAAAAAGAAGCACCCTGTTCCCCCTCTGCCAAACCTGCTTATCTGACCCAATTCGCTTGCATTTTGATCCAAGTGCACAAGATGCGTCAAAACCTGGGCCTCAAAGGAGGCTCAACGACCCGTTCATGGGAAAGACGATGACTGCAGACTCATCATGACCATGGGGGCGTCGTCGGTTAAACACGAACCCCCGCCCAAAACAAAAGAAAGAAGAGACAGTTGGCTTCCAACATCATCCTCATCATCACCACCACCACCACCATCATCATCATCACTCACTTCCTGAGCAGGCTGTCCTACGGAACAATCTGATATGTTTGCTTGCCACAAAACTGCCCTTCCCGAAAACTTGAACGCCCAAGCATCGGAAGAGTGTTCTTTTTGGATCCGGAACTTCAGAAACTAACCGGAAAAAAGAAAAAACACTGACAACATCCACCCACTCACCCAGGCCACCCAGGCCACCCACCCACCCACCCAGGCCACCCACCCCAGCGGGCAAACGTCCGATGGGAGATGTCCGAGCCCTCCTGGCCTGTCGGGCCGGCGCTCAAGGTTCACCACCTTGGCCTCCAGGTCCTCGGGTGGAACAAGCCATCGAAGCCTTGCCCCCAGAATCAACTGGGGGGCGTTGGGGGTGTGGGGAGGGGGGGGAACTTATCATGGAGCCCAAAAAAGTCGCCCTTCTTGGAGGCTATTAGATGCTGATTTTCCGGGTTCAAGGCCAGTCGGAGGAATCGTCAATCAATCCGGGGGATTCAATCAGCAATGCAGCTTGATCCGGGCTCCCTCTTTCAAAATCAAGCAATGCTAACCTTGGGTTCCCATTACGTGCTTTGGACTGGCACGAAAGGAAGACAAAAAGAGACTGGAAAAGAGAAGTGGGCGGAACATGTTCTGTCACTTCTTTCTGCCATTCTTTGCCGTACGTTTTTTGTCGTGTTATGTTCGTTTCGAATTCTTTGGGCGCCCGGAAAGCAAGGGTGCTGGACTGACCATGGCTTGCGGCGACGCACCCAATTCTTGGGGGTTGATCACAAGTGGGCACGCAGGGATGGGCACGCAGGCATGGGCACGCAGGCATGGTCTCAAAATAGTGAAACCCCCAAAACTCACTTTGAAAAGCACAAACAAAGGGTACCACCTCAAAAAAACGAGCCACACCCTGTGTCAAAGGGAATTGCACCCCAAGCGGAGCGGTTTCCCTGTGGCTTCCTTTCAGCCCCAAGAAGGCCTCACCAAACACAGACACCCACATGCGGTCTGGCGGTCTGGCGGTCTTGCAAAATCCCCGTGCTACAAATCAAACTCAGAACGGCATTTTGAAGCTGATAGATAGCAAGGGGATTGGTTTGCCGGTCAACAGGGACGTAACCTTAGACCTTAGGGCCTTCTAGGGGTATACTCGGTATATCGACACAAGCCCTTTGCATTGCCCACTGTCATTTTATCTTCGCAAACGCCAGTAGCGCCAAACACGTGCTCTCCCGACATTTAGATATGAACGAATGGGGTCGTCGCTTGAGAAAATAACAAAGCAATACATATATCTGAGCGCACCATGCCAAGCACTAAGTGCCCTTTCAAATTGGCTGATGTCTGGAAGCCGCGTTCCAGTTGTTGTTTTGCTAATTGATTCGTGGTATAACAAAACCGCTTCCTCGTCCGTAAAGCAAGCCAAACATTTCGAGCATCGGCTTTCAGGTTTGAGCCCAGCGGTCAATCCTGGAGGATCTTCGGCGCCTGCGCAGCAAGCAACTTGGGTTCGCACGAGTTGCTCCAAAGCAAACTGCTAAATGGAAGCAAAGGATGTTTGGAGGTTCGGAGCAACCCTGTTCAACTTGTGTGTTTCAAGTGACAAAGTCCCAGGAGTCCCACTTTGGTAACACAATCTTTGGGGCCTAGCTTCGACCATGAATCCCTGCCGGAAATCGAGAGCACCTTTCACCTGCTTTAAGGCTACGATTTCTTGGGTGTCTGTAAACGGAAACAAAAAGGGCATCCCGAAAGGACATGCCTATAACAATCAGGCTTACCCTCCCCTGTTCAAACACCTCGTGCTTAAAAAACCAATTGTTTTGCGTATAACAGACGGCTCAAATCCTGAGTGGACGGTCCAAAAAATATTGTTTGGGACCAGTGTCCTTCCCAACAAAGTCTGTTTTGCAGGAATTCGGGAAGTGAGGGGGAGAACGCCTGGTTGTTCAAACCCTTCTCCAACGCTAATGGGTTCGTCAAACATCAGGCCTTTGGCGTAGCCTTCATCGCTTTCATCGCTTTCGACTTTGCTGCCTGGAGATCGTCAGCAGAAAGGCTTGCACGCACAAGCACACATGTCAGTGCACAGAGGTTGATTAATGCCAATGTTGGTTGCAGATGCTGGCAAAAAGTGTCTGGACAGCCGCCATCATCCGAGCAAACATGAATTTGCTAGAAGGGCAAAGGACCCGCTTGCTTCATAGCGGGGACTCCATTGTACATAGACAAATGGTGGCAATCATTGCAAGATCATGTACCAACTCAGCTTCAATCTAGTATGTGCTTTGCTACATGCATAGCTTCGTTTGGAGGTATTGAGAAGGATTTCTGCCGCACGTAGGCTGCAGTTTGTCGATTCAGATTTTCGATGAATTGAACTGCAACTTGCATAACACAAATGCTGTCCTAATTCTCCCGTTCCTGCCAAGCATGAGCCAGAGATGGAAAATTGCAGAAAAGCCGGGGGGGGAAACACCTGTGACGCAGCTTTTTCACCTCCAGTTTTTTGCTTTTTTAACAGATTGTGACCTTGTTGGAGAGTTCCCCCCTGGTTTGTATTATAATTAAATGGCAACCAACTGGAAAACCAACTTCCATTTTTGGGGTCCCCGAAATAAAAGACACACCCATATAATTAACTAGATCGCGCTTGTGAATGGTTAGGATCAAACTCAGCCTAGTGAAATCCTATGTTCAACGAACCTGACCTAACGGGCCTCGAAAGGAGCACCTATGCACAGGACATGTTCTTGCCTTTTGATCCCTTCAAGATAACGGGACGCCTCAAGACGGACCAAAATTGCGGGGGGGGGGGGGGGTAATTAAATGGTGTCGCTAGGTTGCAAAGAAGGAGCACCTGGGCTGGTCTCCAAACGGACTCCGGCCCAAAAAGGGGAATCATCCGGGGGCTCCCCTTTTGGTGTCCTAAGGAAACCGAAGGTCTTCCAAGAAGTCTTCAGATACCTCGTTGCTTCAGGTTCCCCCCGATCGCAGGCCGCAACGGGGCAGGGAGCAGCCCAGGCGTCCGCGCCGGACGCTTGGCCGGCTTCATGACCTTCCAGGTTGGGGGGATATCACCCCTACCTTCCGGGGGGTGAGGGTGAGGGCCAGTAAAAGAGAAAATGGAACCAGAAATGGAGATCTCCACGCCCAATTCCCTCCCCCAATTCCAGTTTGAAGGGGGTTGGGCATGGAGGGATAGGCGCGGCTTGTTGGCAAAGTCAATTCCCGTAGACACACAACCAATCCGATCCTCACGTCCGATTGAGTGGATTGACCAAGTCCAAGCTTGCTACTTACAACCTCACTTCCTTTGGCCAGAAAAAGTCTAAACTGCTTGACTGAGCCTTTAAGCTGGTCCAAACCCAAAAAGTGGCAGAGTCCAGCACCTGTGGGAGTGAGCACTGAATTGGCCTTCTCAGAAAGCGACAAAAAAACGCCCAGGAACTCCAGAAGTGGGACTAAGTGGGACGCAGTGGAACCATTTCTCTTTCGGGCGGGAACCCAATGTAAAGCGGGCCCTGATTTTCCTGATGCCCCATCCTGTAAACCTTCTACCACTCTGTTGCCTGCAAACAAGCCTCAAGCTCTGGACAAGGCTGTGTGGTCCAAATGACAAAGTTGAACAATAACAGCAATACTGTGGATGGAACATATTCTGCACCCGCTGGGATAGATGAAACTCTATTTGTTTTTTGGTAAAAGACAAACCATCCACGTGGTGCGAAGTTGAACAAACAATCCATCCAAAGTGCACAAGTGACTCCTCTAGAAGCTGAGAGGGTTTTGGAAGACTTTGTGGAAGCCCTGCCAAAACTGTTGGAAGCTGGGAATTCTGCAAAAGCATTGTCACGGAACCCGAAACAAAAACAAACACATCATCTGGAAAGGAAGCTCCTTTGGGGAACCTCTTTTTGGATATGCTTCCATGTTACTTTGCATAGGGAAGCAAACAGACCCCAGGCGAGCCACTACGACAGGCAACCTGACTTACATGCTGGTTTTCCCTGGTAACTTGATCCATCGGGGAATTATGGCCACAAAATGCAATCAGTTCAAATGGGAACCCCTGAACAATTGTGGATACAAATCCTCATGTGAATCTACATCTACCTTCACCCTACTAGAGTTTTTTTTGATGGCGTGGAAACCTCTGGTTGGAAGAACCTGGTATCCCTTGTGTGGGACTTACCCCCTTTTTGAGTAAGATAAAACCAAAAGCGGAACGCCTGCCTTCGTCGCCTTCATTGCCTTCGTGGACTTCATGGCCTTCATGGCCTTCGTGGCCTGCAAAGACGAGTCAAAGGGGCAAGTGGCTCATAGTCAGCACCCGGTATATACTAGCATATTTAACATGGTCCACCCAAAACCATGGCCTGGGGCTCGCAACCATGAGACCCGCACCTGGTTTGGACTATCCCTACGTTATACGTTGTCGATCCAGGTGGTGATTCTAGTGAGAAGGCGGCATGATAGAAAGATGGAACAGCAACAAGAAACACAAACCAAAGGTAGAGAGACAATGGCTGGCATAGTCAAATCAAGCACGTGCATCCAAACATAATTACCCTCGTTTACAACAAATGGCCGGGCAGTAAAACTAAGTTTAGCAATAGGGAACCACCGCAAAAGTGGTTGTGGACTTGAATCCCTATCAAAATTTGATGTCCACCAAAGGGTCCAGGACCAACTAAAATATTCAAACCCATTTTACGAGAACCCCTCAACATGTTCACTCTACGCCCGCCTTCATGGCCTTCATGGCCTTCGGGGCCTTCATGGCCTTCATGGCCTTCATGGCCTTCATGGCTTTCGCCTCACGGGGTTGGTCCCTGTGGGCGGATTTTGGGTCATAATCAAAACCCGGTATTAAAACGGTCTACCCAGAACCATGTAAAGAATTGAGAAGGCGGCCGCAGCTGTTTATGGCTGGGAGAATCCCTTACTAACCTTCATCTACCCAGGTTTTGATTGTGGCTCAAAAGAAATTGGGTGGGTTTAGGCCAGTCCAAAGCGAGGCTTGCCTTTGGGACGGGCTTCATGGTGGCTTACAGGCGGTCTGGGGCCTTAGGGTGGGTTGAATGTCAAACCCAGGTTCAACAACCTGCTGGAGGCCCCAAAACATGCGCACAAAATCGAAGTCGCTCAGAGATGTACTTGCGAAACCTTGGGTTAACAGTGTAGGCATGCAGCCGCGGGCAGGAGGTCCACAACTTCCCTGGACGTCCCATAAGTGGCAGCTTCATTGGAATTCGTGTTCCAAACCCTCCTGTCAGCTAATATTAACAAAGACGTGCATGAGTGATGTACGGATTTGGTTGCCTCCGGTATGTCTCTTCCCCCGAGTGGGCAGTTCTTTGGCTAGGCCTTCTTCACTATGCACGCAAAATTCGGACTGTGCTTTGCCCCGCAATATGAACAAACATCCAACAACGATGTCACAACAAAGAACAGATGACGTGAGCAGGAAAGAGAGGGTGAAAGAGAGGGTGAACTCAGAATTTCCTCTGACTCTGCTTTAGGCAGTCAACAGCTAGCCGGCCGCTGTCCACTCCTAAAGGGAATGCTCACACACCAGCGAGGGTTTCCTCAATTTCCCTTTTTTGGAGCCTCCGAGAGTGGGACTTCAATTTGACACCACCAAATGATCAACTTGTGAAGGGGAAATCCAATGATCCCTGAGAACTAGGTTGAGTCAAACGGGCCCTGGAACCATCGATCCGCGCAAGAGCCATGGTTCTCATAACTTGCTGGTGCGACAGGCAGGGAATGAGGCAATGACCCTTATAAACCATCCCTTATGGTTTCCCGTAAAGGGATCCCCAGGTTCATTCCCTTATTCCCTATTGAGCACCAGCAAGATGAGCTGCTTCAGCCACTGGAAATGTCTACAGCCCTTGAATGCAGGCGGAGACCCTGAGACAGCTCTGTACTGGAAAGCTCAACCCTTGCCAAATAAGCAAGATAACCGGGTGGCACTCTAGTAATTGGAAAGGAGGACCCGCAGAGGTATCACTGAAGTTTCAATGTTCACAACTCTGAAATTTGGGAAGCTCACTGGCAATCCTCTTTCCTTCCCATTGGTGGCACCGAGATTTGCAAGCGTTTTGCGAATTGCATTGTTTCTGAAACTCAGGATGGGACCATGCAGAACTCATGCATCTTGAGTGGGTGGGGATGCTGCCCGGGCTTGGAAAATCGCAGCCGCCAACTGCAAAAACCTGCGCTTCATCCAGGCACCAAACGTTGTGAGGATTTGACCATTGCGCTGCCGGGCTTCTTCTCACGGGCACTGTCCGAAACCGGTCCTCGACCATGCTTCCTATATTCCATCTGCGGAAGAGCGATTGCTTCGTCTGGACCGCGACAAAGCATTGAACGCCTGGATCTTTTGTAAACGATTCGCGGGTATCGCAACAGACTTGATCAGTTGCACGGGTTGGCCGCCCGGCATTTTATTTTGGTGTGGCTTTTTTAGGGGACCCCCCTCCCCCCAAAACAATGGTTGTCTTTTGGCTTCCCTTTCAAACCAACCCAAATTGTGTGCCCCCCAACAAAAAAACATATTAATTTGCAATGCACGCTTCCTTTAAAGGAAAGCCAACAAGAAACCAAACCACTGGAGGAATCCCCCGATTTTGAGACATGCCTGAAGAGGGTTTAACCTGTTTCCAACGCTGGAAACTGCAAAAGGGTCAGAGATAAGTTGCTTCAATGATGATGTCCACTGATTCCTCTGTGGTCCATTGGTCATGGGAACATGCGGGCACTTGTTAGTTGCTTGGCTTGAAGGGATACCCAAGCATCAAAAAGCAACAAGGTTTCTAGAACAACTCGGGTAACAGCATCGGCAACTGGCTGCCCAACAGGGTTGTCCTTTCAGCGGAACAGAAGGGTCGGTTTAAACCGAGCCATCATCAAATCGTCCTTCTGGGGGCCACAGGGTTGCTCTCTCTCGTTTAGCCAGAAATATGTTATAAACACATCAATTGCAAAGCCAAACGTGGAACACAGTCTCCAGAATGGGTCAATCTTTGACCAAAGGAAAGCCTAGAAGGAATGCCTGAAAAGAAAACCCTCGAAAGAAACCAAACAAACAACCCAGAAGGATACACTGAAAAGGCTATCCTGTAAAAACGTCCAAAATGCAAACTCTGAAAAGCAAGCAAAATCATAACCCCAAAAAGGGAAACCCTAAAAGGGGAAGAAAAAAGAACAACGAAAGGACACTGAAAAGGACATTCTGTAAACGACACCCTGAAAAGGACGCCCCAAAAGGGATGCCTCAAAGAATACCGTGGAAATCCTGTCAAGGACACCCTGAAAAGGAATTTGAGTACAAAGAGGGACTCCCTAATAAGGAACCAACAAAAAACAACCAACAAGCACACCATGAGAAAAGAGCTCCACGTTTCCCGGCACTGCGAATCATTGCCTTGGTCTTTGGCGCCATTGGCCTCGGAAAAAAAAAGGCCAGGCATCGAAGCAGGTCGCATGTGAAGCGCTGTGTTTCACCAAGGACTTCGGACGGCGTGGGTTCTATCGCCAAGTGAAAGTCCTCCACGAATGCTGGCGTTTTAGGGTTCCAAGCCCATTTGCAGGGAGAAGATCGACTTCGGATTGGTGAAGCTGGTGGAGAAATAGGGCGTGGATCCTCAAAAATGTAAGACCACGCTACCAAAAAGTCCATCCCACACATGAATCAACCAGGGCTTCATTAATGCTGGGTTGTCAGTGTAAGTTCATTGAAATTGTGCAGGATTTCCCGAATTTGAGCAGAGGAGTTGAGTGAGGGCAAAAATTGGAACTTCATTGGAATTCACTCGCGTCTTGTTGGAATTGCACTGGAATTGCATTTGGACAAGCATTGGAAAGGATTCGTCGCTGCCATTCTTTCTGAAATTATGGTAGCTGAAATGTCTAATTCTGGAGCGGAAGTGTCTTTTAATCTTGCTGGAATGCGTCCAGGGAGCGTCATGAAAGGCTGGAATTTTGGAGGAATTTGGGGGGACACTAGCAGGATGTTTGATGAATTCTGCTGGGTCACACATGGCTGTGGCTCAAAAATAGGAATTGGCCCAACATGGACCTCTGGTAAATGGAGAAGTCGCCTAACAATTATGGTCCCCTGGCTTTTACATTTTGTGCCACACATGTCGAAGCGACCCTGCTTGAATTGCATGGGTTCTGAAACCATGCAGCTCAGCTTTGAAACCCAGGATGTTCCCCAGAGGCCTGACCCCCCCGGTTCCTTGGGCTTTCCTAACTTTCTCGGGTTCCATAGTGTTCCTGTGTCCTGCAAGTCCCATGGTGCCTGATCAGCTTTCATGCGTGCGGCTTCCCGAAGGTGTCATGGTGAATGTCGGGGAGTCCTTGGGGGAGGGAGGGTGCGGTTTAGGAACCCGGGTGGGATCGCGGAGGAGTTGCGCCGCTGCGCCATGCGGCCATGTTTATGGTATTCTCTTCCACTGGGTCTGTCACTTAGAGTTTAATTTGCATTCCGCAGCACCAGCAGACAGGTTTGTCGCTGCGCTTTGGATGTTGGTCGCCGGTTCACCAGCTTTCAAAACACCCGCGCTCCAAACCACCGCAGGATTGCCTGAGAAGCTGCGTGACGAAAACACCTCCAAGAGTCCAGGAACCAACCAACCACGGCCTTTTTGCAAAGGGGTAACCTTACCCAAGGCAACTCACCTTACTCTCCTACAAAAATGAACGGAAGGAGAAGCAACCCAAAACAGGGGTCCGGGACCCAACATTTGCTTCCTATGGTGAGCTTTTGGGTTCCATGTTCATCTGTACGTGTTTTTTGGCCAAACATGTGATGCTTAAAACCACAAGAAAGTCTAAGTCGCGCCCCCTGCATTCCTCGGCACAGCTCTGGGGAAACACAACCAAACTACAGCCCGGTGAAAGTAAATGCCATACCAACCCAATTGGGTGTGTCTCTTTTTTGGAAGTACCTCGTTTTGAGGCTTTGAAGGGAAACAAAAGGAAAACCACCATTTCGGGGGTCCACAAAAAACACCCCCATTTTGGTTTAGTCTCAGAAAAAAGCGAATTGTGGCAAGTTTCACCCTATGACTTCTCACAAGCCTAGAACCATTCCTCAGCCACAAACATGGTTGCAACCAGGTCTAGACTGAGATTCCAAGCAACCACATCATCGGCCATGGAAATTAAAAGGTACTTTGGATGCACCAATGCACCAATGGGCATTGATGAACCCCTATAGGGACAAACCAACAGCGTCTGCCAATCGAGATTACTGCTTCTCCGCTCCACTCGGACCCGTGCAAACCACCCGTCGACTTCTCAGCTGTCAAGTTGATTTCGTTCATCCGAGTCGCGTCAGGTGCAAAAAGCGCAACTTCCCCAAGTTGCTCCCACAGAAGCTGAGCCAATGCGACCGAATGCCGGACGGACTCTAGAGCAATTCCACGGCGCGGCTCTGTTATCTCCCCAAAAAACACATCCCCCAACAAAAAGTGTTTCCTTTGGTCCCTTTGAAATCACAAAACAGCGGTACCCCCCAAAGAAGGACACCCCCCTGAGCATGGGTGTGATAAACATGCCTGAGTTTTCAGCATGGTAAAGAACACGTCAATGCAGCAGCTCCTTGACCTAAACTGAGGACTCACACGCCACCAACTCAATGGGCTCAATAATGCAATGGATACCACGTGACGTGATTCAAACTCACACCCGGTAAAGCTTCAGGATAAGTTGAACGATGTTCCATGGTATGCCAATTGCTAAACTCCTATTTGGGGATAGTCATGGTGAGATCATCATCACAAGAGCAAGTCTGATTGATTCCCGGCTCATTGCTCATGTGACATAATCCCCACTGGAGCTCGGCTTCATGAAAGGCCGGTAGATTTTGAGAGGATGCAACCGCAGCCCCTACAACGAGGTGAAGGCTCTGAGGATACTTTCCGGAGGAACAACAACACATGCCTCTGATCCAAACACCACCAGGTTCCAGTCTACAAACTGGAGGTGATGCATAGCTCGATGTGCGTCAACCGACGAGTCCCATTTGGGTTTGTCTCAAAATAGGAATCGGACCCCTTTGTGGATGGTTTTGAAAGGAACCCACAAGTACACCTACCTGGAGGGGGCCCCCAGTTCAAGACACACCCAACTGGCGAGTCAGAACAAGTTTGCCGACTTTGCTCGCAAATTCTCAGGGCACATTCTGCACGAGCATGGCGCTGGCCATCTCGCAAAATTGGGCACTGCACCTCTTGTGGGCGCGGAGCGTCGCAAAATCGAAGGGAAAAAACGGCCCGCGGGTGGCGCCCGTGGCACGTTAATCAAGCGGAGGGCGCAGGATACGAGCCAATCAAAACTGGGTGAGAAGTCCACCTGACAGCTGTACCTTTCCCATGGACCAATGGAGCTGTCCCCTTCAACTAGGGGCCCAACAATTGCCATCATTTGACTTTTTCAATTGTGACTTTCTCTAACTTGATTTTAAGGCCCACAGACCCTTTCTAAATGTTTAGGCCCTCATAGTGCCCAGGTTTTGATCGTGGCTCAGCTCAGAGTTTCTCAAAATGGTGGACCCCCTGTTGGTTGTTGTAAGGGAAACCTTTTGGGGGACCCCTGTTGTGAGAAACGCCCATATGGCCCTGCAAGCTATCAATCCGCACTGCTGCCGTATCAAAGGCGAGTCGATTGGGGTGTGTCTCCTTGAGGGACCCTTTCCTGGATGGTCTTCTCAGAGAACCGTTCACACCCACAAAACACCCTGAAGCAACTGGAGTCCCTGAGATTGAGACATACCCAAAGACAAAAAGAGAGAGAGAGAGAGGCGCTTTCTCTCCCACCCGTGGCAAGCAAGCCTGTCGGGAAAAAAGAAGAAGTCCTGGAACCTACTCTCCTGAAATTGATAGCATGAACGACAGAATTCGATTGGTCGGGTTGCCGGCAAGTCCCAATCCAGCAACTGCCTTTGGGGACATTGCGCTCAACTTGACTTGTTCCACCCATTAAAACAAACTAGCCTGAGCTACCTCAACGAAAATCATCTACAACTAGTTGCTGGTTGGGGTTCCAGGGTGAGTTGCAAAGCACACACCATGATAGCGTTTGGGAGCAGAAAGACAGTTGACGCAAACACACTGTGGTTGACTTTCGAAGGCAGCAAAACACTGCGCATCGGGGCGCTTGGCTTTTTCTAGTCTTGTCCTTGATTTTGAGGCGGGTTAATCCTTTTGGTTTTGGCAACAACACAATTTGTGTGCACCGGTCGATCCTCAATTATTCACTTTGTGTCTTTCTTGTTTACCTAAAAGGGACTCCCGCCAAAGCAATCAATCCAAGTTCCCCTCAGACATCACGACGAACCTCAAAAAGGGGGGCGGCGCGCTCAAAAGAACGTCCTGAAAATACTGGGAAGCTCATAAGCAGGCTTATGAGGAGCTGTGTGAGAAGCTGTAGAACTGCTTGCTCACAAGGAGGCTTACAAGGAGCTGTATGAGGAGCTGCAAAAATTGTTGGATGTTTGGGCATTTCCAGGAGATGCTCAGTGGTAACTGGATCTGGGTTCAGGCCATCTGGTAGGTCAAACGATGCATGTGGTCACCTCAGATCGGCCGACCTTCCCTTCTCACTCCTTAAACTTTGCACTTGAAGGTAAAGTGCGGTTCCCACAGGTGAACGGTGTGGGCAAAGGCTTCTTTGCAAGGTAGGAGCTGTGGTCCAAGGAATCCCCCCCCAAAAAACAAAGGTCAAGTGCTTTACTAGTTTGTCGGGAAAAGCCGATTTCCCTGAAAGTAGACCGCCATTTTGGTCGAATCAAAGACTTAAAGATCAAACCAGGAATTATCTCCAGCATTCCCAGTCAAACCAAATGGTCAAAAGCAAAGCTGGAACCTCCAAATGCTGGTGTCCCAGTTCCGAGGGTGCTTGTATTACACCCTGAGAACCTGAAACAGGCTCGCTCACACAAAACTGTCTTCCAATTGGAACACAATTCAACGACTGTACAAATTTTGGGGGCATTTCGACATTCCCCCCTACTGTTCCTTAGCTTAAACTCTGTGATCTCCCCCAGGTGATCAGCTTTTGCGAACAACCGACCCGTTGTTTCCGCCAAGACTAACGTGACCGAGTTTCCAGGGCATTTCGGCAAGGGTTCATATGCTTCTGGCCCGCGTCCGCCTCTTGATGGCCTCCAAAACTTGTCACATCACATGAGCTCGGTGAAACACACTTCCTATCATAGAAGGCGCGCAGCAAAAAAAAAAAAAAAAGAAGCGTGAAGGTCATGCCAAGGGGCATGAGCCGCGCTGTCGATCGGCCTGTTTCTCTGAACCAAGCTGAAACCAAAAAGGACACCTACGTATGCCTCACCTGCCCCAAGGACTTGGATTTCAAGGTCAAATTTCCCTGGACCCTGGACTGCACGGGAAACCCAACAGGTCAGGTCCACCCATTTCGGACAACTGAAACCCGAAAGGATGCCTTTAGGGAATGAACTACCCGCCATTCCACTAACGTAGCACCTGACATTCTTCCGGCTACCTTCCCGCCGGTGCTAGTGGCAGGGTAAGACGCGAAAACAGGTCAGGACCCGTGCCCGTGCCGGGAACCTCAGCCGGAGGCGCGCGGAAGTGGATCGGCACCTGTCGGTTGGTACAGTCAATGAAGGAACCTGCACAGCGGTGAGGGCAAGGCGGGTGGCAGGCGGGTGGTGGTGGAGCTGGTGGAGCTGGTCTTGCATGGCCGTCATGTGTTTTTTTCTCCTGGCGGCCCAACTCCCCAAGAGGGCCGCCCGTCTTTTTGTTGATTGCCCGTTACGGTTGTTTGTTTGGTATGGTGGACAAGATCCCTCGTGCATGAACAACCCTGAGCACAAAGCGGGCGTGTGACATGGCGCATTACGGAATATCATCGCAACATCTGGGCAACCCAGCCCAGACCGGAATTGTGGCAACCCAGCCCAGTAAAGCACCACAAAGGGTGAGCCCGTTCAACCCCCAAACCACGAATCCGCCCTGAGGTACGTCTGTTCCAGACAAACACTGACGGGCTCCCAAAGACCAAAGCACTCATGCCCAGGTGTCACAGCCAGAACCACGGAAAGCGGAAAGCGCTCTAGGTCACCATTGTCACACCGGTTCGGTTGTCTTGAGCATACCGGGCCAAAGTGAGGAATTTGCTCAGCGGCACAAATAGGTCTCTTGGTGTAGATTCGTAAGCACTGCACGCAATACTAGGGTGCCTGCCAATGGATCTCTGTGGATCAAGCTCCAAATTTGGTGCCCCGCTGCCCTTCATTCCTTTGAAAGGGGGTCACAAAAGGGTGTTGAACAAGGGGCATGCCGGTGCTTTGAAAACACATCTTACCTTCTCTTGAACTGTTGGCCCAGTCAATGGAAGCTCACTGGACGTCTGAACCAAATCGAGGAGGGATCTTGAAATCTCCTCACCGGTGCATCTGGCCGTATCCTGAAACCCTGCAAGCGGTTCTTGTCGTTTTGGTTTCAAACGGAGGCGCCCTATTCTTGGAAACGCCCGTCCAGTGACACCCCTAGCGCGTCGCTTTCTGGGCGGAAAATCTATTGATGGAAAGGACCCGGTTGGATAGATTGAAAATAAAGGACGCCTAACATGTCAGGGTTGTCCTTTTAAAGACCGCCCTGCTGCACAAAATAATTGGCAATTGGAGGTGTGCCAAAAGGCTAAAGGTGTTAACCAAACAAGCTTCGGCAACAGGCCAGCCCTGTGCTCAGAAAGGAAACACCACATGACTCTCCGCAAAAAACACTTCGCCCGGCCTACTCCCCAGCCGAGCCAATCCGGGGACTCGGGAGCACACCAGTAGTTGATGATGTTCCTGCCATGCGACACGAGCGGGCAGCCTGAAAATCAGTCGCTGAGCGCTTAGGGTAAGACACTATCGCACAAACCCAGCATTACACTATTCCCGTGGCCAAGTAAAACAAAACGGCCCCATTTTATGCTTGCTCGCCTCCCAGATCGGGGTATTCCCAGACCGAAGGACCCAGAAACAAAACGTCAGAAGGTCAGCTTTGGGCAAGTGGGTTCACAATAGTTGAATCCCTGTTGGTTGATCCGGAGGACAAAACCCTTCCAACCAGTACCAACCATTCTAATATCAAATAGAAGTGGCCTCCCAAAAAAAAATAACACCAGGGATTTGGGGAGCTGTTAAGCCAAACTTAGCCAGCATGCTCGCAACGACATATGCGTCAACGTCGTGACCTTCTTGGTTGATCTTGCGGGGAACCCCTTCTGCTGCTCCGTTTCAAGGCCTTGAGACTGGGGCATGGCCCCTTCTTCAGGCCGAAAGGGGGGTCCGATCTGACCAATCAGGTCGGGTGGTGGGTTCCAGGTTCACCTGGAGTGTAAACATAGAAACCAGCTGCAGGAGTGTTTATGATAGGAAGCTGGCACACCAAGCACAAGTTGATATCCTGTATTAGAGTCAAAGGGCACAGGGAACCTGAAAACCTGAACAATAAAGGTGCCCTTCCATTCGTTGAACTGCCCTGTAAGAGAAACTCCCAAGCCGTAGTTTCCAGCAAAACTTCAGTCGCATCTCACCACCGGTAGACTAGACAATTTGGGTGACCCCCCCCAAACTGGCAAGGTTTCCATTTGGGGTCCCTTTAAAACCACCAAGACAAGGTACCCTGAAAAACAAGACACGGCCATGTGTTTCAGTAAAGTCCCCACAAAAGCGCCGAACATGCACCGCCGACAAAGGGTAGGCAAACACATGTCTCCATGGAAACCCACTTAGGTTGTTCCGCCAATGTTTTTCGACACATGGACGTTGTAGCGCCCCAAATAGGCGGTGTTCCCGTTGATTCCTTTCGAGAAGGGCGCCACCACATCGCCGACCCTGAGTTAAGAGATGCCGCAGCCCAACCTCGCTCACTTCAGGTGAGCTCGCGACAGTTAGTGCAGTGGAAGCTAGAAGCAAAGGGCCCAGGTGCCCTTTTGAGGATGGTGGTTCGGGAGCCCGAAATTTCTCGGGACGCTCGAGTTTGAGAGCCTTGGCTAAGGTCACCAAGTCCCTTGAGGTCGCTAATATCGCCAAAACGATATGGTGCCATGGTCAAAACTCCTTCTGTGGGTAATGGTGAATCCTCATGACATGGTTGTCTACAATAATGGGGTGAACATCGGGCCTGACAAACGAACGATGTTGCCAGAAACCAATAGGGGCCTACCCAAACGCGACACACAACCTGCAACGCCGAAAGAGGCCCACTGGCCCACCCAAAACCAATACCCCAGTAACAACCAATGCGTTGCTTCTACAAGGCTACATGTCCAAAGTGGGGCACCTCGCAACATGGGGGATGTTCCTTTTGGTCACCAAGCCAAACTGCCTTTAGGGCAAGGTGCTGGGTCGCATAGTACTTGTGGCTGCGCGTGCCGTTCAGGTTTAGCGCCCAGGAGTGCTCCTCATGGAGGGCTCTGCGACCAGGATGAAACAGCAGAGGGGCCGGACCTTTTTAAAGGAACCGCGGGGGTGGGGGGTGGGGTTAGTGTGGGAGACAACACCAAATTGAAAGGAAACTGCCTGTTGCAGCGATGGGCCTTCCTTTGAAAGGAAAACCCAAAGTATCTTTCCGCGAGCATCGCGCTATGGTCAAGGATGCCTTCCAGAGTCGTACCACCAAAGGGAAGCCACTACAACAAGGAAAGGGTTAATGATCACATTTGAACAGCCCAGCAATGAGTACCTTTGAAAGGATGGCAATGCAACCAGAACGCAGAGCCAGGCTTCTCGGCTTGACGAGCCAAACTGTTTCAATGGGGGGATTTCTCACGATGGTGAACCCTCTTTTGGTTGGTACGTGAAGGGAAACTAAAAGGACACCAGTTGTTTTCTGGGGCACGCTGTTGAAATCGCACAGCTCCTTGCCCGATCTAACTGGGTCAGTGAGAATCACCCAGCTGTTGTCTTGCTCCGGCTCGTTTCGAGTCAGCTCGTCTCCTGCATATAGATCGCGGCATCGCCTTGGAATCAGATGTCGGACAACGGCCCCGCATGTCCACCCCAAACGGAACTCATGAAGATTCATGAAGGACATATGGCGGGGGCCCGAATCGGATGCTTGTTCTAAGGGAAGGCAAAAGGAAGCCAACTGGTGGGGCTTCCACCCATTCTCCGCCAATAACTGCATAGAAGGCATTCGGAGATTGGGGCTAGAACAGTCATAACCTGGCCAGACCCGCGAAGTCCGTCGACCAAATACTAGTAGGTTGCGACCAGAACTACTAACCACTTGCTGAGCTGCCCTTTCAAGTCGAGACGGAGGAAGCAAACAGCAAACAAATGACTGACTATCCTGCAGATTGTTGAGGGTAACTTCTGCATTCTGAATCCACGGATCCGTCTTTCCAAAGCACCAACTTCCTCTGCCGGTTCTCTAGATTCTAGATGCCTGCTTGCCTTTGACATATCCCACCAAAAGCTTAACAAGGGATCAACCAACTACTGACTTCCCCAAACAGGGTGCAGTAGTCAGTTGATGGGGATGGCCCACCTGGGCCCAGAAAGGATGACTTGTTCTCCACCACTATGCTGGGGGTCTCTTGTTTCAGGTTGGTGAAGTTGGCTTCACGCGTACCTAAGGCGATTCGGTTTATCAGGGGAAACCGCTATGCGCGTGATTTTAACTACAACGAGCAGTAAATTATCTTGCTGGTGCTCAGCAGGGAATGAGGGAATGACCCCTATAAACCATCCCGTGTGGTTTCCTTTTGGTGGACCACTGGGTTCATTCCATCCTTCCCTACCTATCGTACCCAGGTCCTCCAGTAGAGAGGTTGGAATCAGGGTAGCCTTTTGTCTGTACTCTATTTTAGTAGGGGAACCCTCCCAACCAAGAAAGAAACGGGTGAGACAGGGCGCCTAGCTGGGGGACCTAGGCATCGCAAGATCATGATGTTACCCCCGGATTAATAAACCCCTGGTTGATTTTGATCGGGGGGTGTCCCCTTTTATAGGCATTCATCACTCTTGGAGGGAATTCCCCTTAATAATGGGACGGGTTTACTAAACATAAAAGTTGGTACAAGGAAAAAGTTGGTAAAAGGGCACCTAGGTGGACCCAGGCACCGATCCGAAGAAGATACGCCTGGGGCAGTCGCCCCGAAGCCGGCCGCTCGAGCCCAGGCGCTCTTGCAGCTCCGGATGCTCTGCTGCGTCGCCTGGAAGTCGCAGGCGTAACCTCGCGGAAGCGGAGTCGGAGAGTTTTGGTGAGCGGCGAACATACGCGTGGCAAACAGGCCGGGTGAGAAACACCGGGAAATGCAAAAACAAGAACTTCTGGAAAAGGATTCTTACCAGAAAAAAATGGTGAAAGAGACATTGTCTCCAAAATCTAGAACACCTCAATCTGAAAGAAATTCATCAGCCAACGACCTCTTTGGCCTCAATCCCACGCCGTGGAAGCCCCGGCGCTTGTCAGTGTGTGGGAGGGTATCCTCTCTGCCCTCATCTCTCTGATTTTTTTGGGGATTTTGTTTGGCTGGTTTCAAGAAAAGCAGAAGGAAAACGCCCATTCTGGGGTTCCCCTGTTCACCATTCCAGCCACGCATGGCGCACGCCGCCACCCGAACTCGAGGAACTTGCCGAACACGAAACCCACGATGCAGGCGGGAGCCATGTTGACTTGCCAGTTCCGCCGTCCTTCTGTCATTCCACTAATCTAAGGAAAACCTCTAGAAAGAAACTTAGATAGGTGAACTCGTTTTACCCCCAGGTGAGCTCCTTGTGATGCGCCCAGCTTCATTTGGTGACTGCTTTTGGCGACGCATGTTGCCTTCCAAGAACTTAGATGACTCTCAAAGGACTGAAGAGGGCCGAAGACTACCAGGGAGCCCAACTCTGACCACACTGCGTTTTGGGGCTTTTCTCTGTTGGCTCGTTGCTTTGGGACTGAGGGGCATCACGCTTGAATCACCCCAAAACAACAGAAGAAAGCAAGTGAGCCGGGGTCCTATCGGGGCTTGGCATGGAGGCGCAAGAGAAAACAGCCCCATTGCTTTTCGGGTGGCAAATGTTGACCAATTTTGGGCCACATCAAATAGGGTAAACAACATTGAGAATCCCCCACTTAAAGAAACCTCACTCTGAATGGCCCCAAAAGGCAACGCCTGGAGCACAGAAATCTAGGGAGCCAAGTCCTGACGAGGCACGGCTGGTGGCTTTGGACGGGCACGTGGCCACGGACACTCCAAGCTCCGCGCCCGCATCTGCGCACCTCGAATTGAGAGACGCGCGGGAGGTTTTGGGGCGACGTTGGAGACCCTTTCGAGGACAAACCTGTCTGAGGGTTTCTTAAAATGGATTCGGACCAAGGGAAACCAAAAGGAAACCCTTGCCATTCTAGGGGATCGATTCTTATTCCGAGAAAGACATAGAACTCTGTCAACACAACTACCAACCAAAAAATATTCGGGACCAAAGACCGATTTGCATTTGCTGAGTTGGAGACTGTCCTTGCAAAAAAAAAAACATCACATACCTACTTCGGTAAGCAAACAGGACACCCTACACAATTCTAACTGAAATAAGTCATGGTTGCTTTCAGAGAAACACACACAGAGAAAATAATAGAATTCTGTTTCAAAGACAGCAACAAACAAAACAGCGGATAGCCAAACAGAGCAAACCAAACATAAACATCATCTGTTGGGGTCCTTGCTTATGGTGTGGAAATTGTGGTTGTGCCTCCTGCAGTCAAACAAAAGGGCTGTCCACCTTTTCTATGGGACTGCTTTCGTAAAACTGAGGAAGCCGTGTACTGATTGAGAAGAACAAACACAATCCCAGTAGTTCCACTTACCTATATATATATATATACACGTAATTAAGGCCTCAACCCTTGAAACACGGGCAAATCGTTCGGTTGCAGTACTGTAGGGTGGCCTGAGATCCACTGGGATAGGCAACAAACGTGAGCCCTAAACAAGATTGAAGGTTCCCTGTTGAAACTGCTTCTCAACGCCAGAGGGGGTGCAGCTGTCGGTTGAAGGAACGCAGTGTTAGAAGTTTGAATCAGGGTCACGGCTACCCTGGAAGAAAGAAACCCCTGTGAAGCAGCGACTGTGGCTCATAATTAACAATTAGATGAGTACTCCGGCGCAATCATCTGTTGGCTAGTGCTAGGCAACCCTGAGTAGGTGGTTGTCCAAAATCCTTTCGGGGTTGATGACTATCCGTACCAACCTCAAACAAATGGGTGTTGAGATTCTGGCACATCTACAAACACAACTTGGCTACCTGCGCGGGTTGGGGGGAGGGGGGAGCCGTGTTTCTAAATCAATATATCCAAACATGTAACCTACAACCGCCACAGCCTTTGGATGCAAACGAAGCACTAACACCCTTAGGGAAACCAAACAAAGCCATCCACATCTTCTGTGTCCTTGGGATTCCTTGGGTATGGTTTTGCGGTACCATGTCGAGTTCCAGGACTCCCATGATTCTCCACGATAAAAACAGCAGAAACACCAACCCTCGTTCCGGCATAGTGCAGCCCGGGCAACGCATAGCGCCCGGAGACGGGGTCCAAAGCTTCATACCTGGACAAACAATGACACCCATTGTTTGGTTGGTGGCCTGGAAGGGAACTCCAAAAAAAAGGAAAGAACTACACCACTTCGTCTGTAGGGCGATGGTTTTTCAGCTGTTTGGAGCACCGGCCCAGTCCAACGCAAGGAACAAACAAAGATCAAAGGGTCACTCCAAGGAAAACACAACTATGGGTATTTGAAAGAAAGAAAACGAAACCAAACCAACACTTCTACCCTTGGAAGCCGCATCAGTGACGTCATTCGGTGAGGTCACAATAGGTTGCCCTGACAAATCATGTCCACGCATACATCACTTCGCATTGAACGCTTGTCCAATGGGACGACTGTGAAATGATGTACCAGGTGACCTTCCGAAAACCATTGCCCATGTCACAAGCAATGCAATCGGCATGTCGCAAGTAAAGCAATCGGCATTCAATTAATGCTGGTCGGGCTCCCCTTCGAAGCGTGGCACGTGACACGTGTTGCGCAGTGCTCAAATTTAAACATTCCCAAACCGGAAATGAAGGAATTCTGGAGTAAAAAAGCTTCATCACGGGTGAGCTCGCTTGAATTTTAGGTCAACGTCTTGTCAACCGACCGTCTCCCCACACCAAGCCCCAATGCCCCGCGGCCCTCCCAGCCTGCTGGACATCGAGAACCCGGACCAGGAGGCGAAGTTGGGATGGCCGCACATGTCATACCCCTCGCCCGGCCAGTCGCCATTCAACCTTAGGAATCCTACTACAGGAACGTTTTCGTGTGTTTTGCCAACTTCACAAAAACTGGGTCTGCTTGACCTGCCCCAATCCCCCACCCCAACCCCCCAACCCAACACAACCGCAACTTTTCTCACCAACCCACAACCCCCACAACACCCCGCCCCACGACCTCTCACCCAACCCACACAACGCACCAACCCCCAACCCCCAAATCCCCCAACACCCCCCCAACACCCCCGAATCCCCAACCCCACAAACCACACCACAAGCCCCAGCCCCCCGCAACACCCACAACACCCTGATCGAAGCCCCTTGCAGTCGACAGGCCTCGGGGTCGGTTTACTTTTTCCTCCTCCGAGCTGCTTCGACGGCTGCGCTAGCCTACGCGCGCAATGAGTGGTGGCCTTCTACCGTAAACTTCGTCCAAGGCTGGGGCCTCGCCGCTCTTCAGTCGCTCCACATTCAGCTCGAAGCGGTTCTGCAAAACCCCGATGTTCTTTTGTGGTTGAGGTAAAGGAGTGGCAAGAAGGAGTCGCCGAAGCCTCCCCGGTCAGCTGGAACACTATCTTCAGATTCCGCAAGATCATGCATCTGAACCTTGCTTGTGCTGCACGGCCTATCGCGGGCACAGCGACATGTTTGAGGAGTTGGCAGAATTGAAGCGCCCAGTAGCAAGCCAGACTGCGTCTTGAACCCGTCCAGCTTCTTCTTGACAAGCCCTGTCTGCCTCGTCGGCTCCAGCGCGGGTCGAGAACCGCCGCATGCTCCCGCAGCGGGGCTGTCCTGCCGCACAACACGACGCGCTTGAACCAGCCACGAGGCTCGAGGAAGTTGGGGGCGACAAGCAGAACGCTGGCCCACACCGCTCCGTACCGCTGGCCGCCCCCGTCGGAGACGCTGTTCCAGACTTTGCCAACGTAGTTTCCTGGCAGGTTCGCGCAGGCGGGGGCGGTCGATCGGCGTCGCTTTCGCGGCCCAGCCGTAGAAAAACGCGTCGAACGCCGGTGCCGGTGCCAGCCCCTTACCACAGCATTGAATGGCTTACTCTTTGAGACGCAAGAGCTTCAAAAAGGGTAGTAGCAATTAGTCCAAGGCAATGGAGGCTTAGATGTACATAGCTTGGACCTGATGAACAAGCAAAACAAACACCTTTAGAGCCCTGTTTTGATTTGAATGCTGCCAAATGTACATCGCCTTGCGTGTCCGGATGAAGTTCGGGTTCCCGCTGTGGAATGGGACACCAACCTGCTGGCACTGCGTCCGCCAGAGCTCCCCGTTCCTCAGCTGAGTGTGGCAGCCAGGTTGCAATTTCAGTCAAAGGCAAGTTGCCTATGATGACCTGTCCTCAAACCTCTTGGTCAAAAGTCAAGCCAGTGGCGTGTGGTTGGACTGCGACTGGGAGGAGCGACTGCCGGAAGTGCTGCTGCCGCAACGCAGCGAGAAGTGTTGAGGCTGCTCGAAGCGGGGGCGCTGGTTGAAGCCGTGGGACCGAAGCGTCTTCATCTCTTTACCAGTTGCTGCGCGGCAACTTCGCCCGCCGCCCGTTCCTGGGGGACCTGTCGGTGCACGGCCTCCGTCAGCCGGCTCACGTCGTCCAGGTGTCGTTGCCCCTCCCTGGATTGACAGTTCAGGATCGCCAGCCAGCCTTCTTTCGCCACAAAGTCATTCTGCTGCCCCAGCCCAATGTTGTGGCTGACCTGGTCAAAGGGCAGCGCTGAGATTCGCGCAGCTGCGGCGGACGCAAATAAAGGGCGCAGGCAAGGCTCCATATAGACGGTGCGGTTAAGAAACTTCTTTTCCGATAAGCAACACGTTGACGCCCGTGGAAAAAAGAATCCAAGACACATCCCAGTCCAAGGCAGTCTGGGCCCCCTGTCCAAGCACCCTAAAGAGGGCGCAGTTTTTGCTTCTTACGGAGCTTTAAAAGGCGCACGGCTCCGCACAGAGGCGCAGGCCCCCCATACAAAACGCAATTCTTTCACGTTACCCGAAACAACGTTCCTGCGGAAAAAGACACCAAACTCGTTTCCCCAAGAAGGCGCAGTGTGGCCCGCCCGCCCACAGTAGGCCACCTATTAGTCGCACAGAAGCGTTCAGAGAGCAGAAGAGTACCAAGCACGGCGAGAAAGGGGTGGTGTTGCGGGGGTGGGGTTGGGGCGGGGGTTGGGGGGTTGGGGGGTTGATGCATATCATGTGTGAGTCGGAATTACATGAGCCGTTCATAAACATCTCATTGTTGATATTTGACCTTTCGGCTGATGACACCTGGTAATCGGCGATTTTGTCATATTCGAACTCGTCCATCTGCTTGTCAGTAATCGAAGTCATCTCGTCCTTCCCCCCCAACCCAACCCCCCCACCACCACAACCCCCGAACCCACACACCCCAATCCCCAACTCCCCCAACCCCCCCAACTCCCCCAACCCACACCCCCCAATCCCCAATCCCAACCCCCAATCCCCAACCCCCAATCCCCAACCCCCAACCCCCCCGAACCCACAACCCCCAATCCCCCAACCCAATCCCCACCCCCCCACCCCCACCCCAACCCCCCCCCCCAAGTTGAGGACGCCTCAAAGCTCCTTGGCTTCCGCTCGAATCGAAATCGGCAGATCCAAGGGGCTCGATGAAGTCCACGTCCCAGGGGCCCTCCTTGAAACGCCAGGAGATCCTGGCGTGGCACGTCTGTCGCTTCAGTGGCACACCCCCGGTTTTTTCTTGGCATCTGAGCAAACAAACTTAGGCTGTTCATGTGTTGTTTTTTTTCCCACACACACACACACACACAAAATTCCTTTTGACCTTCCTTTCAAACACGTAATTTACCCGGTCCGCAAAAAAGGGTGGACCCTCCAGAATGGATGGTTTGCGGATTTTCCTCCAAATTGAAACTCCATGAACCAATTACCAAGGGGCAAAGGCAACAGGCACCTTTGTTACTATCAACAAGTATGGGAGGGGGGGGGGGTCAAACACATGGGAGGGGCCGCCATTTTGTCAAACTCATTTCCTGAGTGGATCGACCAGAAAAGCTATGAACTTTGAACTTGATCTCTGCCACGAAAACATACTAAAATGGTCTTCGCAAAAAAGCATGAAGCGGGAACTCAGCAAGTGAGAAAAAGACGCGATGTTTGTAGGTTCGTATGTTGGATTCAATCCTTGCCGCGAGGGTTTGCAGAGCACATTGGTCCCAACACAGGACACCCAAAGACACCCTTTGAACAATCTTCGACCAGCAGAAAACCAACCCGCAAAAACAACTCAACTGCATCTGCGTGGGGAGGGGGGACGCTTTTGGCTCCCCTGGTAGATATGGCCCTGCGGGAATTCCTTTCCCCACTGCAGAGCCCCAAAGAGCTACAGCTGAGTAAGCAAACGAAAGGGAGAATGCTGAAGCAGTGACAACACAAAGTTCAAATGGTCTTGTTTCCACCGATGTTGCCTAAAATGAGAGGAAATCCACCCCAAGGATGTCGTCATTGCCTAAGCTGAAAACATGGAGAACCCGAAACCCGCCCAAGCAAAAGGAGGTACACCAGAATGAATGTACATGGCGCAATTCCCTTCAATGCTTTATGTGGTACGGGGATTTCTAAACCAAAATGGCTAGGAACTTTGTGGAACTGCGCCATCTACTTTTACGCGACTTGAAATCCCCAAAAAACATAAGAAACACGCATCAAGGTCGAGTTGGGGCAAGGTTTAAAACAGAGTCGCTGCGAGCCCACCGCCTCCAGTCCCCCCAATCAACTCTGTCCTCTGCAGCCCGACGCGGCGCTGTCCCACTACCTGTCCGCGCGCTGAAGCAAGTCGTGAAGTGCCCTAAGGGTCCTGGGCCTCGGTATGGAAAACCTGGGCCTCGCTACGTGTCACACCCCCAGCTGGTCACACCCCCAGCTGGCTCGAGGGGTGTCACAAGGAGCTATTTCGGAGCCCCGTACTGTACCAGGACCCTTAGGGTATTCAGCATCACACTGTCTACAAGGGCCCGATTATACCAAGAGATAAGCTCATATGAGTTCAAAAAGTCCATGTGAAACTCCCCTCAAAAACGGTTGGTGTGAAGCGGCATCCGTTTTGCAATCGTTCCAACAGCACGGCATGGAAGGAAACAGCCGCTTCCCTTTGGATCCCTTCCTGTTCAAATGAGCTGGCAAACTGGACAATCATCCCATTGAAGGCAAGCCTGTGGTTTGCTTCAGGGGTAATCAACCATGCTTGCAACCGGAAAGCTCAACAAAAGCCGGGGCACCGCTTAATCTATCCCTGTCAGAAGTGCTGACATCGCGATGGGGATTATGACAATCGTGTGTTTTTTTACATGAGTATCGGAGTTAGTTTTCAGGGGATCCCCAAGGGGGGGAACCCAAAGCCACCCAAAATGAACGCTATGATGAAACGGCTTGCAAGTCAATGCTCGTGGGTCCGTGGGTTGACTCCAGTAACAGCTGAGGGTTCAATTCAGTCCATTCAGTTTTCAAACAACTATAAGCTATGTAATTAACAACTAGTCTGTTTGATTTCGTTCGCAGTAAGGTTCCTCTTTGCATCCGGGGGCTCGTGGTTTCAAGGCTTACACTTGGCCCCTTCAGTCAGTCTTCGCCCCGAACGCCCCGAACGCCTCGCGGGCACTGCGCGCCGGCACGAGGAGCTCCCAGTCTTTCAGGAAGATGTCCGTTTGGCATTGGTTGACGAAGGAGAACCGCTCCACCTCTCGGCACACGCCCAACACGACGTTTTGGAGGTGCCTTGGCTGTCGAATCCATCTATGGATGTTTCCTTGAAAGTGCTGAAGGAGCGCTAACAGAGCGCAACATTTGATCTAGAGTTTAGAGTCGAGACAGACCTACAAAAGGCCTGAAAAGGGGTTTCGTGCCATTTTCTGTTAACAGCCCAACCTTCAACAGAACAAGCTGGTGTTTCTTCTCTGAATAGGTTTCAAGCTTACACTCGGCCCGCAGCCTTGCCAGCCGCCGTTCCAAAAGCTCAGCTCTTTCTTTTGAGTTTTGAGGGCCTTTCCACACCTGCCTTTCCTGAACAAATAGATGTGAACACAACAAATCAGTCAGGCACCGCAACCACACTCACCGGAAGCCAAACAAAACTCAGCCCAATTGCTTTCTGTTTAGTGTTTACGTTTCCAACAGCAATCCTCTGCTCAAGGCCCAGTTCTGAAAAGAAACATGCAAACGTTGCAAGCATTTTGAGGTGAATGCACGGACGAACTGCGTGGCCTACATGGACTTTGGGCTCGGATTTGCCGCAGATGCAGCTATCTTGAGGCAAAGCTTCTTGGCCATTGGACAGTAAATAAAGGGACCGAAGCCAAAACCATATCTGACTGTGGGGGCTGCCTGATAAAAATCGGATTGACCGTCTTTTTTGAGCCCCTTATAGACCCCTCAACAGCTGGGGGCTGTGTGGGCTGGGTGGGCTGGGTCCCTCACTCCGCGCGGTTTGGGCCTTGGAACATCTCGGCGTCGCCCAGCATCGATCCAATGCAGCCAGCGCAAGCAGTCGAAACATGGCCGGACTGTGAAATGAGCAGTCCGAATGGTCGCAGGGAAGTTTCCTGGAGGCGCAGCTGGGTCTAACCACAGCACACAACATATTTGCTCTGCGGTGAATATATATATATATATATATATTGTAGATATCTGTATAGGTATATAACCATATTGTGCGCGTCCATATTTGTGCATATATGTATATATATATATATATCGTCATGCGTAACGTTTCGTGTTTTGTATACCGCAAGCGTTTGCTTCAGGGAGAACTGCGGGTGTCTGCTCATCATGTCTCCATCCTGAGAGTCTCCCGCTATAAGCCAAAGCTGAAAAAAGAGTCTCGCCTGCCCGGGCATGCGTTGCTTGAAAAGGGGGATCCGCATGACCCTATACCAGTGGTTGACACTATGGTTGACACTAAACCGCTGCAAGGGAAACATAGGGAAACCACGTACTTCTGGCAAAAGGATGGATTGATGTTGAGTCCATTGCAAAAGACAGAATAGTGGCTGATTCCCGATTGAAGTTGAATTGAACGGCGGAAAGGAAAACCAAAACAATAAACAAAAAGCAGAGAACATGCTCTGGAAACATAATCCATGTTTCGTATGGTTTCGGAATCACCAAATAGTAAGATCATGTAGCACCCAAAGAATCAGCATCCACCGGGAACAAAGGGTATGTGGCTTACAGGGGCAGTACGCTTGCAACTGCCTCTTGAAACTGATAAGCGTGGCTCGTGCCCCAGCCGAATTTCAGCGTCGAGGGCACCCCAAGCAGTTGGATTCTTGTTGGCTTCCTTTCGATTTATGCCGTTTGACTTTTCTGTGAACACCAGCCAAACAAGGTCCTGGATAGGACCTTCCATGGACTTCTTTGTGCTCCATTCAAAACACGGCCCCTTGGAGTTCCCAATTGAAGCTGTTTCGCTCTGATGCTAGGCTGGCACAGATTTCTGGCAACTGTCCAGCGTCTCATCCATACCCCGGAACCACATGTCAGAATGTGAGGTTGCGCCTCCGCACTTTCCATTCGTCACATGGACTCCGAACGCACAGGCCCCGTCGGCTTGATTCAATCAATTCCCTCAAGTTAGCACGATTCCTGTTCAGCTTTTTTCTTTACACTCCCTTGTCCACGAGGCCTACAAGAAAAGGCGATCACTGCAACCAAATAAGTATAACCAAAAGGTCGGCCGAAAGGTTGAACCTGAGGCCAAGATGAAAAAAACAACAAACACATATATTATATAAACCAGAACGATCAAAATGTCAGTTCAGGGCCCAAGGTGCTTAGGTTGGGCTTGTCTCGGGGAACGCCCCCATCAAACCAACACCAAAAAGAGCGCCCTCAACAAAAGACACCCATTTGTGGGCTGAGCCAGCGAAGCCAGGATTGCAACAAACCTCCCAAGCTACCAGCTGCACACTCAACGACACCATAAATGCGTCATTTGCAGAACAAAAACACACCAGAACCACTAGATCGCTGCCGAAGACCGACCCCTTCGGCCAAGTTTTCAAGTTCACCAGCACAACCCGATGACTTCTGCCCATGTTCCAAGTCCCAAGTACTCCCCTGCAAGCATCCCCTAGCTTGACGACGGGAACATGAAACTTCCAGGGAGGGGGTGACGTGTCCCGACCACATGAGCGCCCAACAAGCTTCGTAAGCTTTATACCGAAGAATCAGAAGGCGCTGGCTCGCCTGCTTTGCTTTGCCTCAAGCCACATGTCCAATGGCTGCGTCAAAGAGAGCTGGGTACTGTCATGGACCACATACCGCTATCAAGACACCTATAGTTTGGACAGAGCCGACATATGCGGACAGCATGGCGTTCGCCACACCGCTGGCACGGGGTCCAGCAACTCCACGTTGAGTCTGGGAACGAGGATTCCTCCAACGTGTCGCAAACAACGGCAATCTAATGCTCAGTGTCCCACAATCATGTTGGCCAGTACCACTTTAAGCCTTTGCCAGGCCAAGTCTGATTTGCTCGAAGTGTATGCGGTCATCCAAACTTAATTCAAGCAGCACTTAACTTGCCTCACTTGAACAGAGCCACGCGCTCCGAGCGCGAGAGGCCCGTCACTCGCGGCAAAGGGCATGGGCTACACTTGCGGCCGGACTGCGTCGGAGGTTCAAACGTGTTGGCCGACTCCGTCGTCTAAAAGCTAGGCAGCTAGGCCTATCGGGGACGAAGTGGTGCCGTTGCCTATACTCAAAAGAGGTGGCTTTGGACTGCCCATGCTGTGGGCACAGCTGCGCCATCAGCGCCAAAAGTTGCAAGACTTGTCGACACATCTGTTGATGTCCAGCGATTACCCTACCGAAATGGCTGAATGCTACAGAAAACAAGTAGTCTCCGCCTGAAGCAAGTTGTAGCTCCATCTTAACAGGCTCCTGGCGGTCCATCTAGCAGCAGTCAGGTGGGTCGTGAGTGACACACGCAACGAGCGCGGAACTCAGGCATCCACGGATCGAAGTCCAGCCCTATCCCTCCAAGGCCGTTTCCGGCACTTCCGGAGGCACCTCCGCGGCTCCAGGGCAAAAGGGCTTGCCAGATTTTGGGCAATGCCTTTCAGGAGCGATAAAGGCACTCCCACCTTTCTTGGGCTCGGTATCAAAGGGCCATTGAGTGGATTCATTCACTCTTTGGGCTACGGAACATGCTCAAGCCAAAGCTTCCGGCGATTCGGACCGCCCTGACTGGCGTTTGGAAGCCTTCCAAAGGATTCTTTGTTAACGCTGCCATTCCCCTCGGCTCATTTCAGATCGCCCGGCTGATCTCTGAACAACTTGGCAAGAGTCGACATGGGACACCCTGCAAATTTCACGCGGCCAGGCAAAGTGAAGGTCAATCTCAATTCTCGCGCCGGAGCAAGTGAGGACCCATGCACGAAGAGGCCTCGACTAAACTCTCCGCCCTGAACCGAAAAGAAAATGATGAACCAAACAAGCCACAAGCAGGGCCCGAAGCAGAAACACCGTCACATGCCACAGAGACGGCAAGATGACAAGGATGCAAAAGACAGTGAGCCAGAGGACACGGCACAAGCGGCGTGGCAATGCCTTAGGCTTTGGAATGAGAGCAGATCTGTGTAACGCGCCTCATGTGCCATCTGCGCCGCCACGAACACGTAGCATGGAAAGACTACCTGCAGACTCACCACGTTACTCTCAGCAGCATAAAAAATCTTAATACCTCCGCGCGAGTGAGAACTGGAAAATCGCCGTATCGCTGCCAGCAATCGCCGTTTCGCCGGGAAGAATCACCGTTTCGCTTCTTAGGGATATCGAACAATCGCCTTTTCGCTGCAAATAATCGCCGTTTCGACAATCATGACAAAAAGTGCCGTTTCGCCTGATGGGTTTCGCAGAAAGAGCTAAAACATGTACCTTCAGGGTGGCCCAGGTTTTTGTCTCAACCCTTTGTCTAAATCCAAGGAACAATGGCTGAAAAAAGGACACATGGAAGGTCCAACGTTTCTGAGAGTTTTTGGGGGGTATCTTCGATCCAATGCCCCCATCCGCTCGCAGGTTTGTAAAGCAATTCCAAGCTCCCGGTGGCTAAGTTTGCGGAGCTCATGCTTGTGAACTTGGAGCGCCCAAAGCTGGCGGAAATTGTTCGGACACACAAGATGTAAATTCACCGCCGCAACGGTCAAAGGGGGGAGACCACGCCACAAAAACCACACGAAACATGGATTATGTTTCCAGCGCATGTTCTCTGCTTTTCGTGTTTTTGTCCTTTCCGCCGTTCAATTCAACTTCAACCAGGAAGCAGCCACTATTCTGTCTTTTGCACTGGATTCAACATCAATCCATCCTTTTGCCAGAAGTAGGTGGCTTCCCTTGCAGCGGTTTAATGTCAACCACTGGTAGAGGGTCATACGGATCCTCCCCCGTTTCAAGCAACACATGCCCGGGCGTGATGCTTGTGGCCGTGGTAAGAATGCGGTATGCCCAGCTCCTTTCACAGAGTGGAAAGCCCTTCGACATGCTTCTGCGAACGCAAAAATCGCTTCTAAGAAGGACCCAGAGCCTTCTGAAAAGGCTATGCAAAATCTTCTGAGTGGGGGCGAGCTTCTGCCAAGGGATTGGCCTTCTTAGGGCCTCTCAGAAAAGCCCTCGAGAACTCCACCACTGAACCGTCTCCACTGGCTTTGCTCTGATACCGCGCCTGCCAAAGCCAGCATTTTCTGGAGGTCAGCCTTGGCTCTCTCCTGATAGCCGCTCCTTAGTCGAAAATGGCACGGCATACCTTTGCACTCTGCTTCCCGAGAAAAGAGAGCGCCCAAGGCGGCCCAACAAATGGCAGGGAACGCCGAGCACCCCGACCCACACTCCGACGGCTGCGCAAATCGAAATGGCTGACGTTTGATGACCTGCTCAGTGGAATACCTCCTCAGAAGGGCACAGAAACTGACCGAATGGCAGTTTAGCTCAAGTTGTGCTCACTCAGGGCGCACGCACAAGCCGCACTTACAGCACGCAGTGGCCCCGAACTTCGCCGGTCGCAAATCGCACGACCTGACCATCCAAGTTGCAACACTTTGCGCGCAGGATCGGTCGACGTCGTTTTCTTGGATCAGCTTGGTGCAGCTTCTCCTTAAACACCATTTCGCCCGAGCACGACGAGCTCGTCGGTCGCGCTGCGCGGCGGCTGGCCGAGCTGCTCCAAGCCCACAAATCTTAGTGGGTGAAGAGCCATTTGCTTGTTGAAGAACAAGCAGGCCTCCGAATGGGAGCTGGACCTTCTCCAAAACTACAGTGGGGGAGGCTCCCTTCAGTCACGTTGCTTTAGGCATTTTCCGCCTGACAGCACGTCCGACAATTGAGCCCAATCAGCTGTCGCACACAAACGTCATGCGGAGGTTTCCTAAGATGGGGGGTGCCCTGTGAAGATGGCTTGCTACCATTTGAGACCAAACCGGATGTAGTAGACTGTGAGCACACTACATAGAATGGTTCAAGCAAATATGTGCGAACCCAACAAGGCTTTGTGTACGTTTGTGAACCCAAGCAAGGTGTGCGAACATTTGCGAAGGCACATCCACAATTCACAAGAAGCTTGCGAACCCAGCCGGCGTTATGCGAACCCACAGCGCTTGGGCGAACCCCTCGCGTACCCCAGGCAGGCTAGGCGAACCCGTGCGAACACATTTTTTCTCTTCCCATTTAGTACTGACCACATAGGTTTTGCCCTGAATCCTGGCAGCACCTTCGAGACAGTGCATCATCGGCGCAGAGCCTCATGAAAGAGGAAGCGCGCACTGTGGCACCTAGCTCTATGCGGGGGCAAGCTGCCTCCTTGGATTAGCGCAGTGGCAATCATTGCACAGGCTGCGTGGACAACGCCTCTCTCCTGGAAATTCAGCTTTGCTCGAAAATAGCACTTGTCCACTTGCCCCAGGCTGGGGGAAATGGTGCCATCGGTTCTGAAGAGATACCTGGAGAATCTCTTGCCCGGCAATACACAGCGGTAACCTTGCCTGTCCAAGCTGAAAGCAAACAAGCAGGTTACCTCAGGCCCTGGGACCCTAACACGTAAACACAAGCAGCAACTGGGGCCAGCACACCCCTGAAAGGAGAATGCTTCAAGCATCGCATCGGTGTGAACAATGGACGAAATGATTCCCATGAAGCTTGGCCGATTGCACTTGCGCGAAAGGCATGTACTGCGCGCTGGTCTTGACATGCGGCACGGAAGCACGAAGTGCCAATCGGAAGCTTGTGCTGCTTACTCCCGCTGGTCGTAAGCGAGGACCTTTTGCACCACCTTGTCTGGAGGTCCCCAGCAGCGCTGACGGCTCCGGGCCATCAAGCAATGTCAGCAATGAAGCATTCACAGCGTTCACCGCAAACTATAGACGCCGCGCAAAGCCGGCTAGAGACTCTAGCACAACTGCTGGGAAGGCAACCGTGACTGAAAGGCAGCGCTTTGGTCTCTTGCAAACAGCAGGCTGCGCTGCTGGCTGCACATTGCGTGTTGCGCGATTGGCTTGGCATGGCTACGCAAAATTAGGGCCGCCAGGCGCAAAGCTCACAGTCGCGGTCGAAACCATGTTTCAAGCACACAGGACTAGCCTGTTGGACACTAGGCATGGCACTACGTTGGACTCTGCTTCACTTTGGCTCCGACAGACTGCAGGCCGCAGGCGTGGCTTCAGACTGGCACGCCTGGTGTGCAAAACTGGGGCTGCCAGGCACATGGCTCACTGGGACGTGGTGAAAGCAAGAACTTTATGTGAAACAATGGCCCAACAAAAACGGCACGGGCGCCTGCTGGAAACAAGGTTCACTTCCGAGAAAGGCCTTGTGCCAAAGGCTCCGGAAACTTTATTTGCTAAAGTCCGTCTTCATCTGCACAGCTATGCATGGAAGCTTCTCTGCGTTGCGAAGGCTGCATGTGTCAGGCAAGGTAGCCTGGCACCCGAGAGAAAGCCTGAGCAATCAGCCTTTCTTCCGGCAAGGAACTCACCTTCCAGCGCTGGTGCTACTGCTTGCCTTGTCGTTGAAGGGCGCTGGCAGGCTAAGCAGCTGCCGCGCTTTTGGCTCACAGACTTCTTCTCTTCATGAACAGGTCAAGAAAAGAAGTTGGTCTGCTGAATACCGATCCACCAACTGCGATCTTGCCAGCAGCTACCCTTCTTCCAGCCTGCTTGCCAGCAGCCCTCTCCCCCCCATGTTGTAAGTAGATGGTGTCGGATTGAACCCTGCTCACAAATAAGCATGTCCACAAACATTGGCGGTCTTTGGCTGCAGCGCAACAGCTTATACCGATTAAGCCCGATCGCTAGTCTTAAGTTGTACGGGCGCAGGTGTGAGCTGGGATGCACTTCAGCAAAAGGTCTACCTTTTTTCAGCTTAGATTGAAAAGACATTTGTTTCCAAGAGGTCTAAGAGGCTAAGGTCACACCAAAGTCCAGCGCTGTAAAGCGACACGGACTGCAGCGCGCCAGCTTGTACTGCTTAAGCTCGCGGGTCTTATGGCAGGGCGATACAAACAGCTGCTCGGCTGCTTAGTCATCCAGTCTAGGGCGTGTTCTTGATGCCCCATCTTTGCATTGGTGAAATCCACAGTTGGGACACCTGCCAGCTTCTCCAGATTTACTCATGGGGCCTTGTCCGCTACTACTGCGCATCCCTAGCCTTGGCCTGCTCACCTGTGTTCTAGGCAGAAGCGTCGGGGATCGCACACAAAACACGCGACGGATGGCGGCAGCTCAGCGATTGCTGCCAATGTCTTCAGTCTGAGCCAGCCACTGTGCTGCAATAAGCACACTGACCTGCGCCCTCGGAAAGCCTTCCAGCCTCCTTGATCAATTGACGAGGTATCGAATCTGCGAAATGGAGATCTTCGATGGAACGCTAACACAGAGTTGCTGCTGGAAGCTGCATGCGGCATGCGGAAGCAGTTGGTGGAAAAGCAAGTGTTTTTGCAATGCGGCCGCTTCCCGGGCCTCGTGAAGGGCTCATAATTGCCGCTGTGTGCTTGGCTTGCCGCTGCGGCGGCCGCGGCGGCTGAAGCTTCCCGTAAGTGCTCTGAGTAGCAGCCCTTTTACTGCGTCGCTTGCGTTTGTCCGGTCTGTCCCCTTTCCCATTGTCGTCCGTGTTTCGGAAGCGCAATCTCGAACATGGAGCGCGGGCCCCGCTGAAAGTGCAAAAGGCAGCGTCGGGCCATTGGCGCGATGGATAAAGCATGAACGATCTGACCGCTGTCTGATGCCCTCTGCTGCGATGGCTCACCTCATCTGCGGCTCTGCCATGCTTACGCCGTCTGTCCGTCTGTCCAACTTGCGAGACAAAGGGCTAGGTGCTCCTGGGCCAAGAAAACCGCAAGACTTCAGGACCCTTCCAGTTTGTGCAGAGTGAGGGCAACGCAGTCTCCGAACAACGGTCCGGAAGGACCTGCAAGCAACGAGCAGCTTCCAGCGGGCGCTCGGCAGCATTCATGAGAGGCGCAAAGCCAACACCTCTGCGACAAGCGCATTCACGTTGCGTGCAACTCCATGCTTACATCCCTCGGTTGGCTTCTGCTGTTGCCCCGAGAAACTATCCAAAGGGCGCTTTCCTTTCAATCCCTTCCCCCCACGCCATGGCTTCCAGGACGTGAGCGCAGGCGCTGCAATCCAGCACAGCTGCGCATATACGGAACATTTATCCGAGTATTCATGGAGTTTGAGAACCCTCTCCCAAAAGGAGCGGCCTGTCCAACTTAAGGTTTCAAAATTTGCGGTTTCAGCTCACTGACCGGAAGTAAGCTTACTGCACTAAACGACGGAAGTTGAACTACAACACCAAACTGCCAGTGAAGAAGCCGACCGACACACACCTATCAAACTCTACTGATACACATATATGTTCAGGAGGGGGCATGACAAGCCGACTGAAGACGCCCGTATACAAACAGTTCACACTCCAAATGAAGAGGTAAAGCAGGTACCTCACCATAGGCCTTCAATTGTCACTGTGCCCAGACGAAAAGGGCACCTCTTTATTGCACAGAGCATTTGGGTACGCCGTATCTTCGGCCCCGGAAACCCCACATCGAGTTCACACCGCATCGAGCTGGTTGCTGCCCTGCGCGTCCGAAGCTCTCAAAGTCGAGCACCGCTATCAAGGAACCTCAATACACGCAACACAAAACCTCATGCCCCTAAACAATTTCCCCTGCTTGTGTGCAGCTTAAAGGGACCCTGCAAGCAGTTAATTGGCCTCGGCCTCCGGGGCCGGGAAGCTCAGAACCTCTTCGGGATCCAAAACCCATTCTCCTTCCCCCCCTCAGATCCCTTCGTCTTGTCCCTAAGCCGGTCAATTTCCTCCAGATTTCCCTTAGGACCGGTCAAATTCCCCTATGAAAAATTATCAAATGCCCTTTTCAAAACCGTGGAAACCTGGCAAATCCCCCTCTAAATCACTCCGAAACCGGTCATCTTCCCATCCAGACCAATCAAATCCCCCGTCCAACTCCGGTCCCCTCCCGCTTAAAACCGGTCAAAGAAGCTCCCCTAGAAACTTGTCAAATCCCCTCTAAAAACAAGTCCAACTCCAGTCACATCCCCCAAACACCAGAAAAATCCCACCCGAAAACCAGTCAAATTTCGTAGAAATGCCTTCGCTTGGCCCAAGCCCACTGCCATTCTGTGCTCTCTGCGCTCGTTCTGGCCTTTGAAGCCAGTGGAAACACGCGGACGTGCACCCGCCGTCTGCCTTGGAAACCAGCTCACACATTGCAGCTCCGACTCACGCACTCTAATAAACACAAGACTTCAAGGCAAACTAAAGCACGGTAAAAAAAGCAAAAAAGTTTAAGCCAGCCAAAAGCGGACTGGCCGAGGCGGGCAACGCGAAGCGTTTACAATTACTTCCGTTGAGGAGCGCCCTTTTCCAATGTGCCATGGACAGTTTTCCTGAGTTCACAAACGGCTTTTAACAAAGGGCATCTTTTCACAGGTGTGAAGGATGCTTCCAAGACTTTGGAGCCCAAAACGCCTTGAAACACATTCTTGGATTCAAGACTTTTCCTTACTCCAGTTTCGAATCTTGAGCCCAAGTCTTCTACAGGAACATTACTCAAAGTGCTTTAGAGCATTTTAGCTGGAGCCTCGCTGGATTCAAGGTTCAAAATGACAGTCCTGAGCATCTTGAATCCACAAATGCTTTAAACCATTGAAGCTTTTGAGGGCTCTAGAGTCTAAATTGAAGATTCACACAGCAGAATCTCAAGCAACTTCCATCTCGCAGGCTGGTTTTGGAGGGTCAAGATTCTAATCTGAATATGAATATATTGCACATGCGCATCGCTTATTTATTTCCCACATAAGTGGGCAGCACCTGCAGTAGAATTGAAGGTGATGTCAAAGCACGGTCAGTCTCCAGCAACCAGCCGTTTCCCCAGGCGCGCTTCTAGGGGTACGACACTCAGCACATTGCCAGAACCGCCCTTTGCGATCTCCCAAGGGGTGCATGCAGGATATTGCTGACTTGGGGCTTGGAACTTGCAACGCAATCAGCGCCACTTCGAACATGGCGTCACTTGAGTTGGAGCCTGAACGCCAAGCCGTGATCTATTTGCCCGGTTGCCAGGGAAAGAAGAACATCTTGTTTGAGGGGCATAGCTTCCAATGGAAGAAAGGAAGAAAAGGTTGCTTCCACCGGACAACAGCAGTACCAAGCCTTCGAAGCTTTTCGAGGACATGGGCCCCCATTTTGGCGCCGGGTTCAAGCCGCCTCAGTCTCGGCAACTCGGCCTTCACGGAGGGCCCGAGGCCCAGCTCACACAAAGTCCGCCGGGACCGCTTCCTGCACTTCCTGCGCTGGCGGCTTAGGTCAGGCGACAGTCGCGCGGATGGGAAGCCTTGTCCTTTCTCTCTGCTTGGATCCAGAAACAGACTTCGGTGGGTTGATCAATGGAGCTGAACTCCGCGCAGAAGGTCTGGTCCTTTCAGATCTTCCAAGAGATTGACAGGCTTCGGCCGGAGTGCGGCTCGGCCCACTCCCGGATGCCAACCTGGCTCGATTGGCACCAAGAGTTTGTCCTGGAGTGGCGCCAGGCCAGGCGGCTAAGCTCCCCCTATACCAGTTGTATGGGAAGTGAAAGGTCTTGTCAAGCCTGGGCCCGGCTACCCGCAGAATCCGACATCCCAAGTCACGCATCCGATTTCCGCGTATCCGATTTGTGCGCATCAAGAAATCGACGAATCTGACAAGTCGATCTGGACATGGCACCACATCCCTCGCGATCAAACAGCTGTCGCACGTTGGCAATGGCAGGTGCAACCGCATAGATTCCAGCAGGTCACCCCGTGGACTTGCCAAAGCTGACGGACTGGTCAGTCCCGGTTTGTGGCACGGAACGAAATGCGGACGGACTACACAACATACGGTCACTAACAGCATGTCGCAGCAGTTTCTCAGTTCGTTTCCAGAGGGCAGGCAACTTGTGCCCACGGCAGGGTCAACCTAGCAAACAAGTCAAGGACGGCAAAGGCACCACCCAGATGTCATCATCATTATTCTGAATTCTGAGCACCTGGTTGCAAAGGTTAGCCTTTGGCTACCGGGTCCTTGAACAACTGAGTGCGTATGAAAGACATTTTGGCCATGTGCCGAAGTCTAGATAGATCCTATAGGCATAATTTCTTGCTTGCACACTTCTACATGCAGCTCTTTCGGGGCGCATACGCAACAGTCGGCATCAAACGTATCCTTCATGGCATTGGCACACCGTTTGGGCGTTTCCCAGCGGAATCGAATGCCTGTGGTTGCCTTCTTGGCGTTTCGCGCAAGAACCACACATGGCCGGCCAAAAAACCGGTCTCCAAAATGCCTTGCCCTGGATGGAAAGGACGACCTCCTGTCCGATTCCTGGCGGCTTGTTTGACCCAGGTGGCCTTCTGTGCGCGCAAACTTGGCCACTTTTACACAGAAATCCCCAGTTCTTTGGAAAACTCTTTGGTTGGCTCCAAACGGATGCCAAAAGAAGACCAACCGTTTTGGAGCGCCCTCAATTGGAGACAAACCCAAATATGACACAGGCTTGTTTAGAGCATATTCGCCCTTGATTCGCATCTTGCTTGCTCCTATACGCGAACACACGCCGCGCCAGGGGCACGTGGCATTTCGTGGTCTTGGGAATGCAAGGTGGCCAATGAGGCCTGCGGCCCTTTGAACATCATGGCCGAAAATGATGCCAGGATCCCAGCCCTACTTGCAGCAACCCTGCGTGTGAATGTGCTCCCCGTCTTGCGCTCGGCAACTGCTCGACGGCACCTCCCCACCAACTTGGCCGGATTTGTCGTCAGGCAATGCCGCGGAGAGAGAAACACATCATGGGTTGGACGCTTCCGCGATCTTGGTGATGTTTGAATAGCTCATCCAAAACCCGCGGCGTATCGGCAGAGCTCACCAGGGATCTCGCATCGGCGAGATGCATCCGGGCTCAGCCTCTGACATTCAAGATGCTGCGTCCGAAAACAATGACTGGGCTACCAACCAATTGCGGGTCCTCTCACCCAAAAAAGCGGATCCCAATCCCTTCCCCCAAGCAAAGCTGCGAGAAAGGGAGGATTCAGCAGGCCGCGAACGCGTGATCACTGTGCGTGCAAGGTGCGGTCACCCGGGCAAAGCTTTGACCCGGCGAGGCGTGTGGGTTGACACGCAAGTCTTCAAGGAAAGGTTATTCCGTCCCAGCCGAGCATGGGCAGCCCAGAAACGTCACCCGTGCCCAGTTGATGGACACGAAACTCGGAGTTGGCGCAGGCATCGTGATCCTCAAGCCGCCGCCCTGACGTTTACCGCGCAGCACCAAACTGGGAGAGTCTCCAACCTGCTCGGGGAAGTGTCAGATCACGTTGATCAGGCTAGCTCGCGGAGGCAGAAGATCGGACTGCATGGCCCTGCAGTCCTCATGAGCTCGCCATGAGTCTTGCAAGCATGCGCGGTACTGCTACCGACAGGACAGCGCGGATTGACTTGCAAGTCAGGCCCCGTGCCAAGGTTTGGTGGCCACAAAGGCCACAAAGGCCACAAATCAGCCTGCAGAGCGTCGCTAAACCCGGCAAATGCAAATGAACCAAATTCGTGGACGGACGAGTGCTATGCCGCCAGCATGCTTATGCTCCGCTTTCAGGGTGTTACCCTACTGAAAAGCAGTGTCCCCAGATTCGTGGGAGTTTTGATTCAAACCAGACGCGTTGGACAAATCTTAATGCCCAACTTTAGGGCTGAAACGCTTTTGCAAATGGCTGGTACATGCGCAAGCGCATCAATCCAAGGCGAAATCATTTCACATGGCCTTTCCGCTCCACAAGCAACAGACCGCACCAACAGGCCGTGCTGAGTCGCTCCGGCGGTAAGCCACGCCCAGTAATGGGCAAGCAAGAAAGCTTATCTCGGCGTGACACTGCGCTCGAACGCAGGTGCATCGGGTCGTCGACTGTCTTGCCTGGGCAAAAAACCCGAACCTCTTGGCCCTTCTGCCGATCTACTTACAAAAGCCAAGGACCAAAGAAAGGAAGACAAACACATATAAAAAGAACAAGGTAAGCCTGGTAA